CTCAAGATCGGACAGGTCATTGACTTGCTGCTGACAGGCGAGGAGATTGATGTACAGGCTGAACTTGCAGGTATCTCGAGCTCATCCAACAATGACGAGGATGAGACCATGGAAGACGTAGAGCCATCTAGCCGAAACCGCCACGGTAGCACCGGAGGCGCAGGTGCTGGTGCCACAGGCGGTGATATCCGAGATGAAGGCGAAGAGTCCCGAGAAGGGGGCGCCGATGGTGGTCGAGCGTAGGTTCCATCTATTTGTATCGCATTCGGCGTCGTGGCGCAGTCTACCTTTCCGGACAGAATCGAGCTGCTGTGCAAATTACCAACGGCTCTATACAAAACTATAAAGATATCCTGTCACGGTACGGCGTTTTGGGAGAAGCATAAGACCATCCAAACATGGCGATTGGCACTGGCTGCTCATGTACAACAATAGAAAATAAGCATCATGCTACGTCTTCCACTGGCCACGCCGCGGCGCTTGTTTCGCGTTTTTGCTTTTGCCTATTCTCTTGAACATTCTCGCTAACGCGTCGACAGAGCCGGATCAGGTGATGTCTCTGCCATTGTACAAGACTTCATGAACTCGCTCAAAGGCGGCAACGCAGGCGGCAGCTCACAACAACAAAGAGGATCAGAACCCTTCGCTAGCCTCACCGAGTTCCTCTGGCCTACGCATACTCTCTCAACCGTTGAGAACGCTTCCGACGAGACCATCGACGCACTGTGTGCCCAGCTACCGACAATTCCTTTCCTCCTAGAAGCCGAAGTCGAAGACATCGATCAAATCGACCCCAATTCCGAGACCGCGCAGATGGCCATACAGACATTGGGTCGGGACGAAAAAATTGAGGTTCTGAGCAGGATCCTACGGGCACCCCAGCTGAGGGGAGCATTAGGCAGTCTGAACGAGGCGTTGAGGACCGGTGCTCTACCGACTGTCAGTCAGGCACTGAACATTGATGTCGAAAACGGAGGCTATATGAGAGGTGGAGGCATGCCACTTGGTGGCGGAGATGCAGTTAAGGCATTTCTGGAGGGTGTCAAGAAGACAGTAGAGAAGGAAAAGAAGGGCGGCGATGACATGGACACCAGCTAGATAGCCAAGCGGCTGTAGCGATTTGGAGATGCTTTGGCACGGAATGACGACCGACACACGAATGATGCACATATAGACGACAATGACCAATGGCCCGAGCACTGCATGGCAAGGGTAGGATAATCGAATTATTCTCGCTCTCATCAGTATTTTTCAAATCCTCTTCTTAGAAGTTCGCCTCCCATCCAGGAGGACCTCCAAAGTGTACAGAGTCAGTCCACGGCTTTAGCCTTTACACAGATTCATATCCATTATCGACTTTCATTTGTCTCACTTCCAATGGGGAAACGGTTATCAGCCAAATCTTTCCATAATTGCAGCCACTCCACTCAAGCGCTCAATGTCCTCAACTTTGTCTGCTGGATGTTGTTCGCGATAATGCTTCATCCACGCATCGCGTTGATCCTCATACTGCGGTTGCGAGTAGCACCCCTTGCAAGGTACTCTCAGTCCAGGGAGGTAGCGAGGAAAGTGGTAAGCGCAGAAGTTTGGATCTACGTCACTATTGAGATGTTAGCCATCGGACCGTGGAAAGAGAGGGATGAGACACAGGGGGACGGGCTACTGACCTATCGTCAACTTCAGGATCGGCGGGCGTGAAGAACGTAGATGGTGAGGGCGTATATGTAGAGAGGGGCGCATCGATTAGGGTGCCGGTGGTGGAGAAAGTGGGTGAAGGCTGACTCAGAGTTGGAGAAGTTGGAGACATTGACACCGGGGAAGTAGGATGGCTCTGCATATAACCTGATTCCGCACCCACCGCCTCTAGTCCTGTACCCGGCGCCATGAAGCGGAATGCTGGAGTACCGCTCCGGCCCTGTTGCTGTTGTTGTGCTTGACTGCCCAGCACCGCCGCTCTCAGCGGAGAAGGGTGAGCCTGTGATTCACGAGCACGCTGTGAAGGCAAATCTTGGACATCGGTTCTCCGCGCTGGTGGACCAGTTGACGAGGGCGCCATAGCAGACACAACGGAACTTGAGCGCGACAGATCCGGTGCATTTCCGCGGTTGCTGGGGATGCGGCGGCCCGTAGCGATAGCATGGGGACACGGTGTTGTGCAGATCGTTTTGTGGTGTCCGCAAGCATAAACTTGGAGGAGTTTGTGACACATTCTGGGCGACCGGTAAGGTTCTGTTAGAATGATCGGGGGGCTCTTGGTGTATGAGTTGGTGGGTAACTCAGGATCAAAGTTGGATGACGAGAGTAAGTGAATGTCAGAGCGGCGTGGACGTGAGTCAACACAAAATCGGAGGCGGTGATGTGTCGCAAAGAGCTGATGAAAGTGGCGACTCAATCACTCACAAGCGGTATGTGAGCGTTGGTTCAGCTTATTCACGCACTAGCATTCGTTTGCCTGTCTGCGCGTTTGTCAATATAAAAACAACATTGTACATTGAGGAAGATACGACTTCGAAGGACAGGGCAGGGCAGGTCAGAACTTTGGGTTCTATGCTAGAAGCTATATCAACATTGCAAAATCATGAATGACCAGTGTAACGACAACCGCTTCTCCATGCCGCAAACACCGCGCCATCAAACTCCATGCCACCGAATGCTCGAAGAAACAATACACTTCCTGAGGTGTCAATCCACTAGTAACTCCGTCCGAACAAGATCCACTGCTTGGCGGGAGTCTGACAGTCGGGGTTGATGCACTTGGTCTTGCCAGGCTCAATACCCTCGGGCTGCTCAAAAGGAATGCACAAACTCTTTGCACCCATGGCAGGAGCCTGCTTATCTTCCGCAACGCCATCGCCCAACGCACTCCGTGCGCTCTTCGCCTTCACCTCATCTTCGCACTTGTCGCCCTCACAGTGGGGAACCAGGACAACGTTCTTGCCGTTCAAGGTAGGGACAAAGTCATCCCAGTTGGTAAGCTGGATGCGGTGGTCCCGGTATGCCTTGTCAGCCTTGTTGAACATGTCTTCCTGGATCTGCTCGAGTAACTTGGGGACTTCTTGTGCGATGCTGTCGACATTGATGGTACCACGTGCGGCGTCCTTGTCATCGATGTCGCGACGAGATGTGGTGACAATACCCTTCTCAGCATCCTTGGGGCCGAATTCGATTCGCAGAGGAATACCCTTCAACTCCCAGTCGTTGAACTTCCAGCCGGGAGAGTAGCCCTCACGGTAGTCGGTCTCAACGCGAACACCAGCCTCGGTAAGATCGTCATGAATCTTCTTGACCTTGCTGTAAAGGTCCTCCTTAGCCTCAGCAGACATCCTGGTTTCGTTAGCATTGCCATAGTTGAGTCATCAGTGATAAACGTACTTGGCGGTGACTCCCACAGGAATGACAACAACTTGGATCTCAGCCACTCTGGGAGGAATGACGAGACCTCGGTTGTCTCCGTGAGTCAGAATCATGACACCGATCGAACGTGTAGTCAGACCCCATGAGTTCTGCCACACGTGGACGTGTTCCGACTTTCCAGCTTCCTTGGCGGTGGGGTCCTCGACTGTGATGTTGAACATCTTTGAGAAATGTTGACCGAGAGCATGGGATGTTGCAGCCTGAATACCGCGACCAGTAGCGGGAATGAAACCTTCGACGGTGGTAGTGTAGTCGGCTCCGGGGAACTTCTCGTTGACAGTCTTCGTTCCCTTCACGACCGGAACGGCAAGCAGCTTCTGGTACACATCAGAGTACCAGTCCAGGATCTGGAGAACCTCATCGCTCGCTTCCTTCTGGGTAAGATGTGCGGTGTGGCCTTCTTGCCAGAGGAACTCGCGCGATCGGATGAAGGGCATGGGATCTGGACATAGATTAGACACTGCGGAAGAAAACAATAGGTCAGTACTAACGCTTGAACTCCCACCGAACGACGTTGTTCCACTGGTTCAGCTTCAGGGGAAGATCGCGATGCGACTGGATCTTGCGCGCGAAGTAGGGGTACATGGCTGTTTCGGAAGTAGGGCGCACAGCGACGGGCTTCTCCAGGTCAGATTTTCCGCCCTTGGTCACCCACGCGACCTCGGCGGCGAAACCCTCCACATGCTCCTTCTCTCGCTCCAAGTTATCAGCGCTGATGAAAATGGGGAAGTATGCGTTTCGGACTTTCAAAGTCTTGATCTGGCTGTCGAACCACGACTTGATGTTCTCCCAGATGGCGTACGAGGAGGGCTCGAGGATGTAGCATCCGGCTACGTCGTAGTAGGAGATCATCTGCCCCTTTGTAATGACCTGTTGGTACCAGTCTCCCAGGTCGACCTCCTTTGCGACATCGATACCAATCAACGCTGAACCTTCGATCTGTGGCTTGATTAGTATCGCGCATGGTGTCGGATGTTCGGTGTCGCCGCATAGACCTACCTTCTTCTTCTGTTGCTGGGGCTTCTTCGCGGCTTTCTGAGGGTTACCATCCTTTTTACTCTTCTTGGTCTCAGAGATGGAAAGATCCTTCATCTTGCCATCGGCAGCTGTGGCTTCAGCCATGTTGGGAAGGTGCTATACAAAGCTGTCAGCGTCTCGCAAGAGATATCTTCACGAGTACTAATGGATGAAAAGGTAGTGAAACCGCGGTCGTATAGATATTCTAGCCAAACCCATTTGTAAACAGGGTGAGTTGGTGGGGCAGGCGGGGTATCAAGACGCGACTTGGGACTACTTACGTGCAATTGAGTTATGGCAAGTTAAAGAGACGGTGGGGAACCCAAACAATATAAGGCGAGAGCACTCTAGAGTCACGTAAAGCTAAGACAGAGTCGGCTCGTTGCAGTCTCGTGTGAGTCGACAGCCAAATGTGTGGAGGGCCGAGTCATCGGCGCAGGGGTCCAGACTAGCGCGATTCACGGGCGGAGCTACCATTCGCCGTCGCCGACGCGGGCGGGCATTGCTGGAGATTTTCTGGACCGCGTAGAGGCAGCAACAACGAAGCAGAACAGCTATCACCCGACACAATGGCAGGAATCTTCGAGCAGTCACGTAGCGGAGGAACTCTGTGTAAGCCGCCGAAGCTAATAAGACCGCCGCAAAAAGCTAACACGTGCAGTCCTCGGCGGCCAGAAAATCAGCGGCCAGGACATTCGCGACCAAAACGTCCTCGCGACCCAAGCGATCTCGAATGTCGTCAAGTCGTCCTTTGGACCCTCGGGTCTTGACAAGATGATGGTCGACGACATCGGTGACGTTACCGTAACCAACGACGGCGCTACCATCCTCAGTTTGCTGGATATCGAGCACCCCGCAGGCAAAATCCTCGTCGACCTGGCCCAACAACAAGACAAGGAAGTCGGAGATGGCACAACCTCCGTCGTCATAATAGCGGCCGAGCTGCTGCGGAGAGCGAACGAGCTCATGAAGAACAAAATCCACCCCACCACCATCATCACAGGCTACAGGCTGGCGCTGAGGGAGGCGGTCAAGTACATGAACGAGAACATCAGCACCAAGGTCGATGCGCTCGGTCGGGACTCGCTAGTCAACATCGCGAAGACGTCCATGTCCAGCAAGATCATCGGCTCCGACTCCGACTTCTTCGCCAACATGGTGGTAGACGGCATGACTGCTGTCAAGATGACAAACAACAAGGGCGAGGTCAAATACCCTGTAAAGGCTGTCAACATCCTCAAGGCACACGGTCAAAGCGCGACTCAGTCGATACTGGTCAAGGGCTACGCTCTCAACTGCACGGTCGCCTCGCAAGCCATGAAGACGCGCATCACCGACGCCAAGATTGCCTGCTTGGACATCAACTTGCAGAAGGAGCGCATGAAGTTGGGTGTTCACATCACCATCGACGACCCGGAGCAGCTAGAGAAGATCCGAGAGCGCGAAGCTGGCATTGTCACCGAGCGCATTGAGATGATCTTGAAGGCTGGCGCCAACGTCATCATGACTACAAAGGGTATCGACGACCTCTGCCTCAAGCACTTCGTTGAGAAGGGTGCCATGGCTGTGCGAAGGTGTAAGAAGGAGGATCTGCGAAGGATAGCGAAGGCGACCGGTGCAACCCTGGTCAGCACCCTTTCTGATCTGAACGGTGACGAGAAGTTTGAGGCAGCAAACCTTGGCCATGCTGAGGAGGTTTCGCAAGAGCGCATTTCCGATGACGAGTGCATTCTGGTCAAGGGCACCAAGGCTTTCTCATCCGCATCCATCATCCTGCGAGGTGCGAACGACTACGCTCTGGACGAGATGGAGCGATCAGTACACGACTCATTATCAGCCGTGAAGCGAACCCTCGAGAGCGGCCGCATCGTCCCTGGTGGAGGTGCCGTTGAAACTGCGTTGCACATCTACTTGGAAGAGTGGGCAACGTCAGTGGTAAGTCACTCCAATCCTTGCATGTCTACAACGTGACTAACGATAAATCTAGGGCTCTCGGGAACAGTTGGCCATTGCTGCTTTTGCGCAGTCTCTGCTTGCTATTCCTAAGACACTTGCCATCAACGCGGCCAAGGATGCTACCGAGCTCGTCGCCAACCTCCGATCACGGCACGCTCTTTCACAGCGGACAGTGAACCCTTCAGACCCTTCGTCGCAAGACGCAAAGCAGCTGGCCAAGTCGAAGAACTACAAGAACTACGGTCTGGACCTGTCAAACGGTAAAGTGCACGACTGCCTAAAGGCCGGTGTACTGGAACCCAGCATGAGCAAAGTCAAGCAATTGAAGTCAGCAGTGGAGGCGTGTGTTGCGATTATGCGTATCGATACCCTGATCAAGCTGGATCCAGAGGAGCAAGGTGGAGGTGGTGACGATGGCCATGGACATTAGATGTCCTGGCGTCAAGAGGAGATAGACCCGACTGAAAAGATAACGACAGCGTAATGAAGGCTCCAAGCCCACGTGCAAGATACTCCTCTATTATCCCCACTCTGTTCCAAGCCACCCTAAGGACCCCCAACCGAAATCTGCTTGCCGCGGCACTGACTCATTAAAGCTTTTGGGGGCCAAATGTGACCATCGTGTAGGGCTTTCGGACCGACTAGCACCTGTTCTCAAAGCTATGTAGGCAACCAAAGCTTGCAGGCCTCGATTTGCACCAAACACCAAAAGACTCCCAACGATACGATCGTGCACAAGCTCATCACTTGCAGCTGTCATTTGGGACATGAGAAGGCTTGTTAATTATTGCGCCTCAAACCCTACCTCGGCAGTTCACGGCCACGATGGGGATCTACATGCGACTCTGCCGCGTCGCACAACACATGGCTTTCCGGTGAGATTATCTGGCGACCAAGACATCCGACGTGCCTGGTGTTCATATTAAAGAGGTAAAGCGCACGGTGGTGATGGCTGCAAGCGGCTTGTTTACAGCCTATCGCGGCGCTACACAAGCGAGGCGGATTGTTTCTTTCTTCTTCAGCTCGCTACCCCATGCTAGCTACACATCCGTTGTCCCTGCAGCGGTCACCATTGCGTCTAGCGTCAAGACGAACACCTTGTGGAAATACTGAACAACTGTGCTTGAGATGATGCAGTAACGGAAAGAATGAGCAGGAAAAGCGTAGGTGTGGTGCAAGTATTGCAGCAATCCTGCATGTACAACAAGCACGTCCAACCGAACGCTTTCATGGAACCCAAATGCACAAATTCTCAGCTGATCAGCCTTCAATACGCTCTCCTCGTATGTGTGGCCGCAGCCGGCAAGCCCCAGCGGGTCGCTGCACGCCTTACGGCGCAATGTCTTTCTCATTGTACGTAGCTCAACGTACCTAGGTATGAGTACTTAGCTTATAGGGCCCTGCTCTTTCCTTAAGGGTGCTTTCTGTTCCTCGTTTTGTAATTTCTCGGGTCTGAAACGTCATGGCATATACCAGGCTTTCTTCGTTGCTGGTCGTTCTCTTTTCCGCAAAGTATGGGAGCACTGCTATGATACGGGCACCGACGCCTGCTGTCACGCCCGCCCCTGCTGCAACAGCTGTAGCACTGGCTGTTAGGGATGTTACTACCCTTGGATATATTTCCACGGGCATGTATGGCTCGAGTACACTGTGTAAGATTGATTACCTACATGGCTGCTCGATTGTTGCTAAGAAGTCTTAGATGACACCATCACCGCAAATAACGAGGGTCATGTCATCGCAACATCAGGTAGCCTTTACAAGATCTGTGCGCCAGAATCTCTTTGCGAGTTCTTTTCTTGTGAGAGCGATTACGTTGTGTATCCGACTACATCAGTCTTCTGGTGCGTTCTGGCTCCTGGTCGCCTGGATATTGTATACTAACATGGCATCGCAGTGGAGGCTCAAACTTAACTTGCAGCTACTGGGAGCTGGCAACAGATATCAATGACCCTTCACCATTGACCAACTACTGGTGCGATGCTAAGACGGAAACGGGAGGAAGGATCTTAGTAACCACCCCAGACCAAGGTATGCAATCTGTCTAACCTTGATGAAGCATTGACTGACAACACACTTCCAAGATTCATCAACCTCCCCTAACACTGGCTCATCCTCGAATACCCCAATCTCTCTGTCCTTCACTCCACTCTCACGTACCGCTTCCGGTCGTCCCTCAGATGCACCACTTGACCTTACACCTTCCTCTGGTAACGAAGATTCCAACGACTCCAACAACTCCAACGAATCCAACAATTCCAACAATTCCAAGAAGTCAACTCCAGTAGGCGCAATCGCCGGTGGAGTAATCGGCGGCGTCGCTCTTCTAGCCGCTGTAGTTCTCGGAGTCTTCTTCCTTCTTCGCCGCAAGAAGAAGCAACAGAACAATACCACCGTCAACAACAACATGCAGCAGCCACCCACCGCACCTCAAGCTCCACCAGCCGGTGTCCAGTACTATCACGAGCAGAAGCCCGTCCCTCAGCAACACATGCAACAGATGCCGTCTCCACCGCCTCAACACCAACAGCACTACGGTCAGTACGATCCGAACGCACAGCAACCCGCGCAACATTTCTATGACCCCAATGCTCAGTCTGCGTATGCTACGCAGCAGGGTGGCTATGCGATGCCGGAGAAAATATCAGGTGCTGTGAATCCTGTGCAGGCGAACCCGCACTATTCGGACGGGCCAGTGAGCCCTGTACCGCAGTACTCCCCAGCTATGTCGCCGCCAGTTCCAGCCACCATTAATGAGTTGCCGAGTGGGAGGATGTGAGTACAGTAGTGTTGCATTCGGTCGTGGATGATATGACCATCGTCCTGGAAAGCAGTTCATGTCTTTGTGCTGTCTTGCACAGTCTGATACTGCGTGCCGTACAGTGGATGGAGAGATGGATGTACATTTGAAGTGCAGTACAACTCTAGGTACAACTCTAGTGTTGATGAATTATACCCCCCCTGTTATATGACCCACCAAGTTTAAGACGTTCTACGAGATGTCCGTTAATTTGCAGGTTCTGCGTTCGTCAGAACTTCCATCAAGGCTTCCCGCAATATCCTTTATGATATCCCCAAGCTGACTTTTGATGGTCCTTGCCGCAATAGTACGCCTCGCCGCATCCAGCACACTTGGATTTGGCACCTGGTGCTCCACAGTGACCACACCATTTCTCCGTCGCTCTATTCATCCACCTCTTTTTCGTCCTCATCGCCACTTCCCATAGCCAATCGTCTACAGGTGTACCACTGATCGCTAGAGTGCGGTCGCTCTTGCTAGGATCTGCACCCTTAGCCAACATACTGAAACGCAGGGCAAACTCCTCGGGGGTATCCAGAGCGAACAGCTGCTTTCCCTTCGGCCCAGGTCCGCGTCCTATATCGCCGAACTGCATGGATGAGAGATCGAAGAAGGATCGAACCGTGTCGCTATCGAGCGGAGAGAAACCTACGACGGCATGCAGCAGTCGTGGCTGGTGCCCACTGACAAACATTGCGCCCTGTGGGAGTACGCAGATAGCCGTGGTAAACTTTGGGTCACGGAAGGACTCTTCGACAATGACACGACTACTGACTGTTGTCGTATAAGACATGCCTGGCTGCTTACCACTAGGCGCATGTCTCACCCTCAACTTTGTGTCTTCGGAGAACAGTGCAAAGAAGATCTGAAGCAGACTAATCGCCTGGTAACAGCCATCGTGATTGCGTGCTTGATGGAATAACGTCTCTAGTTGCTCGTTGGAGAGTGCGCTATCGTTGCGTTTGTTCGGTGGGAGGAATTCCGTGGGCAAGTCTGGGGCATCGGGATCGTTGGTCTGCTGCTGATCCAATACGATCCAAGTCGACGCGTTGTTGTTCCAGCCTTGGTCGATTGGACTGCTGAGTGCGACCGTCTTCGGTTGTGTACCCGGGAAAGCGACTTCTCTCAATTTCGTGTGTCGAAGCCGAGGTTCCGTAGTGTTCCGTTCATAGTTGAGTAAGACAGCAATGTCGTATAGATCCAGCACATCCTCGGAGTCCATCATGGTTGCCGAGCGGGCGTTCTGCACTATCCTGCTTGCGTGGAATTGAGATGGCGGGGCGCATCATCCCGCTGAAAGCGTGACGCGCTAAGCAGGCATCTTTCTGTTTTCGGCGTAGCGCTGAACGCGTGCTTGCGTGATGTCACTCGTCGCGTCTCTGGAAGCCGCGAACTGGAGACGGTATAGCGATTATCTACATATCCGGAAAGCTAAGTATCAAGCGCGACATGCAATTGCGACTATCGAGTATCTTCCCCAAGCGACCGTGATTGAGTCGCAGTCACTACATGGAGACTTTACAAGGTCACGACACAGGAGTACGGGAACGAAGCAACAGCCCTGGAGATTTGAAATGTGTTGAGATTTCTTGGAGAGACTCTATTCAGTCTGGATCATTCCTCTGCATTCCCTGACTGCAGTCGTCGTGCTCTGTCTAGACCAAGCTCAACGCGCATCGTAATTTAGGCAGTTCTTACCAACCAACCATGATAGCTGTCTTCCCTCAGACAAGAAATAGTCGAACGGGTTTGCAGACTACACTGCAATGATAACAAACAAATCAGAAGACTGGCATCAATAGAGACTCCAGAGTGTTCGGTTGTTACCGTGTATACGGTGAAAGCACGAAAGAACTGAAGAGAGGGAGAAGATGGTTTGAATGCAATTGGCATCTTTCGAAGTCATGGAATTCAGAGCTACCCTAATTGAGAATGATGAATCATTAGTAAGGCTCCTTCCATGAGACCTCTGCAATAGTCATATCTTCTTCCAGCCACAGGACCCATCTCAGTTCGCTTCACCAACTTTTAGTATGGTAGGGAAGCTTCTTAGCCATCGATCACTTTTCCCCACTCCCAGCTCTCGGCAGCCTGGGAGAACGATTAGTGTTTGTATGCAGTCCGTAACAAGATTGAGTAACTTACAATAGCATAGCGCAAAGTCGAGTGCCTACTCAACGCGGAGCTTCCTCTCCACCGAGTGCTCGTCGGTGTCGGTGTCGACGCTGAGCGCTCGCTTCTTGGGCTTCTTAGGGAGGACATCGTCCAACGGTTTCACAAGTTGTTCCTCGGGCTTCTCCCCTGCAGATTGGTCGTCATCGAGAGTCTTGACCACGTCTGCGTCCGCGTCTGAGATTTTAGCAGAGACACTACCGGCGTCTTCCGTGCCGTTTCCAGACAGAGCGCTCTCCTCGACTTCAGGGAACATGTACCTGAGTTTTTCGATCAGGATGTTGAAGCCCTTGCCAAATTGAAAGTCGCAGAATTCTTCCATCTTGTCGCAGTAGACAAAGACAAAGGCGACTATAGCCTTGAGCCCATCACCGAACAAATAGACTTGTCCGCTCTTGGTCATCTTCTTGAAGAATGCATCACCATGGAAGACTTGGTCTTTTTTACCGATGTCAAAGGTCAACCAGGGCTTCGCTGTGCCGCCACAGCCAACCCAAAACTCATCTGTGGTGGGGTCACTCAGTCCTTCGACGTAGGTGCCAATGCAGAGCTGTGACTTTCCGTCCGGCAACGACCGGAATGTGAAGGCATCTGGTCTTGGAAGTTTTACTATGGCATTGGGGATCTGCTTTTGGAGCATGTCGAGCAACTGCTCTTTGGTGTAACGTGGACAGCTAGGCATATCGTCCGTGTAGCTGCGATTACTATCAGTATCTTGTCGAACAAAGGGAAGAACAGAATCAGCTTACTGGTGTGGTTGACTGTACGTTTCAGCAAGCGGGGGTGCTGTTGACGAAAGAAGGGAGGAGATATGGTACTGAGAGAGGATATATGAGGCAGCTTTATACGAAGCCCAGTCACAAAACCTCATTCTCGAGGCCCCGGTGTTACCTAGCGTCAATATCACCTTGGGTTGAGAGAATAACTATGCGTCACCCCTTGGAGTAAGACGGGTGTCTTACCGACTTTTGAGCGCCACATACACTCAAGATAGGGAAGTGAGGCATATGTAAGGTCTTCACGAGAACTCATGGCTGTTTCGTAGGAACGACTAAACACCACGAGTGATGCGTAGGTATCCGGCCGTCCATTTACTGTTGTACAACAGGAGTATATGTTCTTGTATTCGCATACAACCACTGTTGGCGATGTGTTGGACGTATAGAACCTCGCGACTTACATCACGGTCCATGCTTCGTCTCCCTGATCGAGAAGAACATCATGAGCAGAAGCGGAGCTTTTATACCCATGAAATGAGACGAACAATCAAATGGTATATCTCCCAAAGCTAAAGTACATGACGAATGATTCAACAAGCAAACTAAAGCCGCGCCATGTTCCCTCTCTTCCGCATGCTCTTTGCCTTCCCTTCGACAGCACCCACCTCATCACCATCCAACTCCTTTCTATCAAACACTGCATCCTCCCAAAGCTTCTCACCAACTAGATCCGCCAGCGCCAAGACCCTCGTCTGAACTGTCGCTCCATCGCGCCGATTCTTGCCTTCTCTTCGCGAAGCACTAATGCGCTCAGCGAAGCGCCATAATGGTCCATCGGCGATGATGCCGCCGTTCGACCCTCTTTGGGGAGTCCACTCCTCTGCTAGTCTGATAGTGGCGGGCGTCTTATCTTTGGACTTGGTAACAAGAATCATGCCTTCTTCCTGGAAGCGCGTGTACGCATTCTTCAGTGTTTCTTTATTTACAGCCTCGAAGTAGGAAAGGTCGCCCTGGTGGTAGAGAGTCTTGCCGAGGACTTGTGCGCGATCTTGAACTTTCTTGAGGTCGAGCCATGAAGACGGTGATGTAGTAGCGGATGACGAGAGGGGAGTGAGCATCATCAGACTGATGGCACCAAGCCATGCAGCTTCGATAAACGGCCAGATGAGGAAACAGTAGAAGTCATAGTTTTCGCGTCCTTGGGTCCGTTCAGCAGGTGATAATTCGATGAAGTCCACCGTTTCTTCGCCCAGCTCGGTTTTTGATCGTGACATGGTGATGACACCGTCTTTTTCTAGTCCCTCAAGTGTTTTGGCGAGGTTATTATCTAGACCTTCGGTGGGGAAGATGAACTCTCCGCGGAAGAGTTGTGAGAGGAAGTGCACCTGCGCACGTAGATCGCCGTAAGACATGCGTTGATACTCCGGGCCACCACCCTGCTTTACATGTGTGTATAGTGCTGCGCTGACCAGACTTTGTAAGATGAAGAGATGAATGGTCATATTCCTGTAGAAGGAGAGTTGGAACCTGTCCACGGCGTAGAATGTGTCTTCTGGTAATCCGGGGACCAGGCCAACAAGCCCAGGTCCCAAAACTTCTAAAGCGCGGTCGACGACAACGCTAGTGGGGAGATTGCCAAAGTGTGCTACACGGCCACCTTGTGCTCGCACCCGGTCGCTGAGCCATTCGACTCGGCGGATGAGTTCTGATTTGCCTACACCACGGCCTCTTAATGTTAGTAAGACGGTACCAACGAGAGCGGTGGGCATCACAACTGAGACGTCGTTGATCTCTGACAAAACTTTGTAGCCCAGTGTGCGGAGGAGGCGGAGTCGGTCTTCTTTGGTATCGAGTTGCTGGGGAAGTTTAGAGAAGCGTTCGCGTTGCTGATTAATGAAGGATTTGAGTGACCACGGCTCGTGGAATCGGACGTCGACGCGGCCGAGTTTAAGGGAGAGGACGCTGGAAGCGGACAGAAAGTCCATGAGGTTTTCTTTGGGTTTGGGTTGACCGAGGAGTTCGCTAATGTATGAGCTGGGGTGTGTTAGTATTCTTTCTCGTATCAAGCTGCTCGAAAGACTTACTCAACCTCGATGACCTTATCGTACTGCGTCGATACCGGGCAAATAATCGCGTCCTCCACCCTGCCGCTCGCGATACTATCGAGCATATAGCTCAGTATGCCGAACTTGGGCGGCAGGAGCTTGCCTGTACGGCTCCTCCCTCCTTCTACGAAGCACTCCAAATTGTATCCACATTGCAGCAGGGTATCGATATAGGACTGTACAAGTGTAATGTACAGCTGATCGTCCCCGAAGCTCCTTCGTATCCACATAGCGCCGGCATGCTGTAGAAAGGACCCGACGACTGGGAAGTTGAGGTTATCACCAGCCACGACTGTGGGCAAAGCGAGTCCCAGCCGATAGCAGATGATTTGTAGCGAGACGTAGTCTACGTGCGAGCGGTGACACGGAAGGAAGATGATGGAGTGCTTGTCTTTCGCTGCCTTCTCGGCGACAGCGCGCAGGCGTAGCACTTCCTCGCTCGAGACGTGGACGCCCTGGTGGTATGCTCTTGTCAAGAGTTGTGTGGCGAAATAGTATGCACCTCTTATGAAGCCTTTGCTTTCCATCTTGCAGATCATGGAATCCGTCCAGCCCTCGCTGACTTGCATAAGCGATTCCTCAATTTGCACCCTCCTCTTTGCCTTTTTATCTTTCTCGCCGACACCAACCCCATGCATCGCATCCTCGCCCAAAAGCCCTTCTTTCGCCTCAACCTCTACCCTCTTGTTCGCCAACTCGCGCACTTTGGCGACGAGCATTGGGTTGCTCAACACCCTCGCCTTCATATCCTCGCTAAAGCCCGGGTAGAACTCTGGCTGCCCAATGTGATCGTCAAAAGACCTCCATCCTGTCCCTGAGAAGTGTAGCGAGACTTCGCGAATGAAATCGAGCGGCGAGGATCGGAAGCGCGCGAAGCTGTGTATAAGGCCGCGGTCGGGCGATTCGTTGTAGCCGGCTGCGTGCAGGTAGACATTGTCGTCGGCCGTGATGCTGAGATCGGGAGCTTGTTCGGGGCTGGAGGGGCGCGCGGTGGAGGACTTCCGGTCCTCGTCTGAGGAGGCCATGCTGATTGGAATGCGGATGTGGGATATGCAAGGAGCGTCTCCTTAGGGAAAGGGTGCGGCGGAAAGCGCGTATCGCATGGGAAGGACGCGTTTAGGAATCGATCTCGGGAGATGGACTTTTTCGGGTGTTTTGATTTCGTGTCAGTCCACGTTGGCACTGTTGCTACGACATGGTGAAGCAGGCGTGAAGCGTCGCGACGATGGACGGTGACATCGCAGGCCCACTTCCCCGGTCGCTATGCCTCGGCTTCTTGTGGGGAAGCCACGCCGGCGCACCATCACCTCCGATTCGCTATCCATCAGCACCACCGACTCTGACAGTTGCTTGGTAGATTGCTATTAACGTGCCATTTTATACTACAATACATCTATTTGTATACATGCGTCATCATGGGACGGTCGGCGTACTCCAAATCTCATGACAAGGCCACACAGCAACTCAGAACACTTCCCACAAACTGACTTTCCCGTCTTTAGCTCCTGCAGCGACCCAGTGTTTAAGCTTCGACTGCTCCTCACGGTCTCTTTGCCGCTTGTTGACAGCCCCATCTCCGCACCCTATCTCATCTTGTGTAAGAATCTCACCGAATGCAGTGGAGTAGACACCTTCCTCGTGCCACTTTAGCACGGCAACTTCCTTGAGCGTCTTGGTGCTGTATATGCGGATCCGTGAGTCCCAACCACCGGTAATCAGAAGCCTGCCATCCGAGCGGACACGGAGCGACTGTTGACCTGCGTGTTTGGTGTCTGTTGTTTTGTACGGGGCTTGTAGGCTGACCACTTTCTGGACTGGCGGAGCAGGCTTGAACTTCGGTAGCGGTGCGGCCGACGAAAGCAGTGAAGATAGACCGCTGGGTGTCGCTTTCTTGGAGCTCGCCTGATCAACATTTTGCTTTGTGAAAGGATCCGAAGACGGTACAGATAGCTCATTGTCTTCTTTACCTGGAATGGATGGCAACTCCGGTATCTGATGCTTGGCTATTATAGCATCTGCCGAGGATGTGTAATAAAAGTCGCCCTCTGGCGAAGCGTCCAACGACAGAATTGGCTGAGAATGGGGTTGACTAAGGTAAACAAGCTGGGCGGTTCCTACGCTCGTGTCGGGGTGTTCTTCAGCCAGCTTGAATGCTGCAGTGACTCCGCCTTCATACCCTGCGAGCAGGAGAAGTCTTTGCGTGGCTCTATTGCGAACAAATTGCACGGCCATAACCATGCCTGTTTCGACGGTTCGTATCTGTGGGATCCTGACCTTGAGTAGCTCGCCAGGAAAGCTATACACGTCGATAACCTTGTCGTCCGTTGACGGGACTGCCACAAAGATGGAATCATCCTCTGAAATGGAGGCTGGAGGATGCTGATAACCCATGGAGAAAGTGCAGAAGTTGAGAGTGTTGACGGGAAGCGAATGAAGAAGCCACGGTTTGGGCGTATGTTCTCGGTTCCCATCTTCAGGTAATGTTGATGAAAGTTTCTCTGTCTCGTCTTCGGGTGCAAGTCGCCAGACTCTTATTCTGTTGTCTCGTCCATGTCTGTGTCCGCGATCTGACGTTAGTAGAGCTCGACAGGCAGACGTGGGCTAGTCATAGGGTGATTGGTAGTTTGCTACAGTGACACGCACGTTACGATCTTTGCATCTCCCCATTGGGCGAAGCCTAGGATGGGGCCATCGTGACCTGGCCAGACAGCAGTTGGTCGCTTCGTCTGAACATTCCAGAGAACGACCCAGCCATCTGCGTCGCCCGTCAACAAACGACTGTTCTGGCGAACAAACAAAGTTGCGTGGATGTGCGAGGCATGGCCGCGGAGAATGGCAGTGGGCTGTGCTGGTGGGAGCGTGGCGGTTTGGCGCTCCAGGGCCATGGGCAAGCTGAGGTGTTAGTTTCGGGCAGGCCGGCACGAGAGACGATCGTCGAGAAGCGATGGTGGGGCCAGTGATGAGCGGTTGATTGTCGGGTATACAACGCGAACGACAGGTACATGCGCGCTTGAAACGGCTGCCTGCTGGGCGTTCCCTTCTCAGACGATGCTCGGTACTAGCGAGCTGAGGTTTATTCGATTGCTGCAGCAGAAGTACGAAACAGCCATGTTGACTGGTATGGAAGAAGGAGTGTTCGTTTCCTCTCAGCTTAGGAGTGCGTGTGGAGGCGCCGGCAGGTGTTCCAGGGTGGCAGGTGCTGTGACACTGCAAAGATTGCCGAGACGGACAAGGATCTATTCTGGTCTTGAGCTTGTTCGCAAAACTCTACAAGATTAGACGAGTGGAAGTGCAGCCAGTCAGCATGCCATGGAGCGTCGAAGCTGCTCGGGCGCAACGCACCTGCACAAGCCGGTTGGGCATCATCTACAGAGGTGCGAAATGTGCCCAGGTGTGTATCTCTTCAGCAGCGCTGGGGTCGTGCCAAGATGCTGCCTGCGCCACGATGGTAGCTCTTCGCACGAACTGCCACGAGAAAGCTAGTGCACTGGGCAATAGGGCTCGCTACAGCAATGATGCACAGCAATCGAGGGTCCGCGGGACGGGAAGAAGAGTTTCCATGCTACGTCGCCGAATGTCACGACGCATCCAAGCCGGCGCGCGCATCATTACCGGGAGGGCGCGCGCATCATGGCGTCGCACCCCGGAATGGCGCACACCAAGGCCCAGACGTCTCCCCGAAGGCGCATTCTGTCCAGCTCTGCCGTCTTTTATCGCGGGATCGTCGTGATACTCGTCCACCTGTCCAGACGCTGACGACCGAAAACCCGGACAGCGTCTTGTTTCAGCGTGCAGCTGTCAACGTTACAGGCGCCTCGGTCCCCAGCCCTCGCGTGCACCTGCCCTTGCGACGCTCCCTGCCAGGACGTCCACCATCTCCTATCGTTCGTCATCGCCTGCATGTACGCCAGCCCGCTCAGGTATAATCCAATATTCCGCCTTTCCTCACGACTCGCTGCTGCTACTTGTTTGCTTCTGTCCCGCCAAAAGCACCCTCGACTCCCATGACTTTCCTCGCCCACCCCTCCACCTAGACTGCGCGTGTTCCTGCATATCATCCGCGACCGAACGCCTGCACACGCCCTCTCGACGGCCAATTCACCAAGACCTCCTATCCCTGCGCCCTCTCCGACACTTTTGCATTCGCACCACGACGACGGACCCACGCCTTTGTGTTTCTTTCCACTGTCATTCAAACACTGCCATTGCAGCCGCCCTACTGCGAATCTTGCGAATCTACGTTGCTGCGTCGCGTCCCGTCGCAACCGAGCTGTCAGATTACGGCGGTCCTCGACCAACCCCACATCTTCCACCGCGACTACTCGACGATTGACCACGAAATCGAAGTGGAGGGATCGACAGACTTGGCCCACTGCGCGCCCTGTTACGGGGTCGTGATCGCCCTGCCACGGCGAGCGACGGCGCAACGCCTGTCCCCGAGCGAGCGTCAGCATGGCCAACACCGCGACACCACCCTCCAACAATGACTCGCCCACGAGCAAGCCATTGCCCTCGAGAAAGAGAGCCAGCGATGCCACACCCGACGACAAGCCTAAGAGGACTCGTACCGGCTGCCTGACATGCAGAGAGCGCCATCTCAAGTGCGATGAGACCAAACCGACCTGCAACAACTGCCTCAAGTCACAGCGCGAGTGCAATTGGGGCAAGAAGCTCAACTTCCTCGACACCACCTGCGAGCGGAATGCATACCTGATCCCCCAAGGCATCGATTATCAGATCGCTTTCATGGACGAGTCACGGACTATTGCTTCGGAATACGTGGGCGGGCGAGAAATGTATCCAGTAGAGGACATGGACGCACATGTTCATATGGGCAGCAACGGCTTTGGCATGGGACCGCCAGCTTCGTCGCGCCAGCACATTCCTCCCATCCAGGGCATCGCACAGGAGTCGTACCAGCAAGCGCAACTCACCTACAACTTCGACCAACAGCGGACCCAGCACCAACACGGGCGTTCAAGTAAGTCAACAGTCCATTCCAGCTGACCGTGCTGACTCTATAGTATCGAGTTTCTCAAACGGCCCAACACCGTCCCCATACACGATGGAGCATTCGGCCAGTCCCGGACCTCTCCCCACGCGCGACTACCTGAAGAGCCAAGAAGAGGTCTTATACATGCAGGTTTTTGTCGAGGAAATTGGCATTTGGATGGACAGCATGGACGCACACAAGCACTTCTCACGTCTACTACCCTTCCATGCGCTCAACGAACCTATGCTCTTACACGCCTTCCTCGCATGCGGTGCACGACATCTCGCCCTTGTTAATCCCAAGTACAGCGAGGAGAAAGCACTCCACTATTACGACGTAGCCACACGAGACCTTCTGCACTCTCTGCAGGATCCCGACCGCGATACCATTCTATGTGCCACCACGGCGGTAATCCTCAACGTTTACGAAATCATGGGAGAACGTGCGCTACAACGGATGAACCATATCGCGGGAGCTCGTGCTCTGATCAAAGAGTGCCGCTGGAATGCTAGGTCAACAGGCATCGGAGCCGCCTGTTTCTGGCTGAACGTCGGCATGGAGATCTTGAGCTGTCTGCACTTCAACTGGCAGGTCGCTTGGGACCCCGACGAATGGGGCATCGAGATGGACTTTACACCAGAGACTGAGTCAGGCAAGGAAGAAGTCTGGACCCATCGTATCCTCTATGTCGTTGCAAGGATATGCAACTTCCGTGCATCGATACCGCGCAACCAGGAAGTCGCCAGGCAGACCTTGCAGGAACGGCACAACGAGTGGCTTCGGCTCAAAGACATGACTGACAGGTGGAACGAGAACATACCACGCACCATGCACCCAATGGCGTATCTGTACCCCGGACAAACAATATCCGGTTCAGCGTTCCCCGAAGTCTGGCTAATCAAGAGAGCATCGATAATAGCGCGGCTCTTCTACCATACATCCCTTGTCTTGCTCGCGCAGATCAACCCGCTGCAAGGCCCTAGCGAACCCGACATGTGGGCCATGCTCGAGCAAAATTCCAAGTTCATCTGCGGTATCAGTGCACATGTCAAAGACCGCGGGGTTGCCAGCGTAGCGCTACGTTCCCTCGCCATCGCAGCTGAACCGCTCACAGACCGACGCGAGCAGGAAGAGGTCCTCCAGATATTCGACAAGATCAGGCAAGAGACGGGTTGGCGTGTAGGCTTCGTCAATACAGAGCTGAAGCAGAAGTGGGGCTGGGATACGCCGCAAACCCAGGACCAGAAGCCACAGCAACAACCTCCACCTCTGCCACCCCCACAACAGCAGCAGCAGATGAATGGCCACATGCAGGAAGGCAGTGTTGTGTACCAGCAACAGCCTCAGGTCGTCGTTCAGCAGCAGATGCCGCAAGTCTCGGTTGCACCTGCCCCAGTACAGCGGCGGCCGACGGGCTTTGGTAACCCTCTGCTCGTAGCAGACTTCAGCATGCCACAACATCCTTACCAGACGCACTACGTGCCTGCAAACATTGTTCAGCAGCAGCAACCGCACACATTACTTCAGCCCCCACTTACCGCAATGAACGGGTACGGCGGACAGCATTTCTTCTAAGCATCCTCAGCACGGACTTCTTCTTTCCAGGATTGTATTACTCGGCACCTTGTTCTACCACATTTCTATACACAAAAGGCAGGCGTTTGGATTTTCCGTATCTCTACACGGCATGGGATACTTGTCTAACGATGTCATGAGTAGCATATATGCGATCACTAATAGCAAGACCACAAGGGTGGTATTTGGAGGCCAAATGGTATAAACGGGACTTTTGTAAATATATACCCTCTGTTTGAGCAAAACTTGGTGCAAACTCGCCGTCAATATCTGGCCTTGTTTGCGTGTACAATCTATCAGCCATTGGATACTCAATTTCTCTATCCCGTTAGTAGATGGCGAGGAGACAGCTTGAACCCCAGGTTCACTCCCTTTCGCAACTGCCGTATGCATACACATCTCACTCGCATATCGCTCGGATCATAACCACTAGTACGAAACCCAATCTTCGCTTCGGCAAAGTTCCGTTTGGTGTGATGAAGTAGCTTCATCTGCTAGTCATTGCTAGGCCGCCCGTACCACCTGTCACTCAGCCCTAATACTAGCTGTTTACGCCACACCTGCTAGTGAGATCAATCTCGTCTTTTCTCTCTACATTCGGTAAAAGGGCATTCATATATCAACACAGCGTTCTATCTAGTCGATGCGAGGAGATGTGGGTGGGTTGCGGCCGTACAGTCAATTGTGCACATCGCATTACCCCTTTTCGAGGATACTGCATCACACCCAGTTGGTGCAGGATCGCAGTATGCTGCAGCCGTCATTGCATGTCGAGCCGCCGGATGATCTCCCTGAATCCCTGGGGTTCTTCGTGCGCGAGCCCGTCAAACATGTTTCGCTGTGCGCGCAAAGACCATGAGTAGTTCGTCGATCAGGTTCGCAACGACCGACACCACATCTCCACATACCAAACACGAAGATGATTTTAGCAACGTTGCGACTCGCCTTACCCACCGCGCCATCTTGCGATTTATTCAATTGGTCGAATTAGCAAAATCGTGGCGTTTTCCCCTGTGTTTAGCGAGTCAGGGGTGGAACCTGTGCCGCAATATGCGAGTTATACCCAAGCGCTCCAAGAGGGAACAAAGGAAATACGAACCAGGCATCCAGCCGCAAACTACGCCACAAAAGTGTCAGCTCATGTATTATCTTGGACAATGGCGCTCCTTCAGCATGTCAGCTCTGCCTCGCATTCTTTCCTCTTGGGGGTCGTCTTCTTTCTTTTTTTTTCACTATACCTAGGTATCATTCAAGATGCATCGCGCATTCCGGGATGAGAAAGGCCTGCATTATGCGCCCAGGAGACATCACTCTCCGGTTGGACTGACTCGAAGGCGCAGTCGTCGCACGGTGCTTCTCGTAATTGCAGTCTGCTTCCTATTACTGTACAGATTCCTTCTGCCACAACATCGCGGAATTGCCCTCCGTCCATCAGTCATCAACGACACATCAGCCTCAAGGATACCACCCGCAACGGAAACCCCGCAAGGCGCCGAAACCCCAATATGTCCGGATTCGCCCATTGCAAACGATGTTCTGGTAGTTGTCAGAACAGGTGCAACTGAAGTTCTTGAGAAGTTACCCGTCCACTTCGAAACAACACTTCGCTGCGTGCCAGACTACATTGTCTACTCCGACTTGAGAGAGGAGGTTGACGGTCACCAAATACACGATGTTTTCGAGGGCATCAGTGACGAACTGAGAACTTCAGTACCAGAGTTTAAGCTCTACGATCACCTTAGGGCTCATGGAAGAGAGGGCTTGAAGAACACGACGCATCTCGGAAGCGGACCAGGAGGATCGCTAGACAATCCGTCGTGGAAACTTGATCGATTCAAATTTCTACCCATGGTGGATAAGGCACTCACATACCGTCCGAATGCGAAGTGGTTCGTGTTCATCGAAGCCGACACCTACATGGTTTGGCAGAATGTACTCCAGTACCTGAGCCATTTTGATCCTGACCAGGCAATGTATATGGGAAAGCACATGTACATCGGCGACACACTATTCGCACACGGCGGATCCGGTTTCGTTCTCTCTTCCACCGCAATGCGCAAAGTAACAGAACGAAGAAACGCCAATCTCGCCGAATACGACGCATTCACAAACAAGAGCTGGGCCGGCGACATGGTACTAGCCACCGCTCTGCGCGAAGTCAACGTCCCTCTGTTCTGGGCATTCCCCCATTTCCAAGGCGAACCAGTATCATCACTCGACCACAACGTATCGAAGATAGGCCGAACACCATGGTGCTACGCCCCCATCACCTACCACCACATGCGCCCAACCGACATCCAATCCCTATGGGCCTTCGAGCAAACCCGCCAACAAAACGGCAAAACCCAACTCCTCCACCGCGACGTCTTCAAAGAGTACATCCTCCCCCGCCTCTCCGCCAAACTCGACGACTGGGACAACCTATCCATGGACGTAGAGCCCGACGACTCGGGCCCTTTTGAGAAATGCAAATTCATCTGCGAATCGAAACCAACATGTCTCCAATTTTCCTACGCTGCAGGCAAGTGCTCTACATCTACCAGCGTCACACTGGGTGAGAGCGCAAAGACACGGTGTGTAGAGTATTCCAGCGCGGCGAGCAAGTGCATTCGATGGCAAGAGGGGACACAGTTTGCGGGCTCGATTCAATCGGGGTGGATGATGGATCGGTTGGAACAATATGTGCTAGATATGGATAGTACGTGTGGTGGAACTGAAGGGGAGAGGTGGGTCGCTTGAGAGAGAGATTAGCAAATGCGGAGTTCGAGCGAACCTCGCGCTATGTCGACTAGTCCATGCAGGGCAAAGAGAACAAAGAGGACGCCGTGCTGGTGCGCATTAGCTTGAGGGCTACGAGGCTGCACATGAGGCGGCTTGGGAAGACGTTCGGCTGACGGTACTGGACAAGAGCTACTGTGTTAGTACGCTTCCGATAGCAGATGCGGAGAAGTGATGTTGGTCTCGAACGAGCAAACACTCTTACGTCATCATTCGCGAGCTTGGCTCCGTTCCGTGCCACTGTTCAATGATCAGGCTCGGCTGAGTTGACGGAGAAGATCATGTTTGGCGCGGCTGAAAAGTGATTGCGTGCAAGAGCAGAAGAGCACGAGGGAAAGATGGGTTCTAGGTCGAAGAATGGCAGAGAGGCACCGCGATGTCTTATAATGGAGAGGGACAGAACTTCTGGCATATACACTACTTCTGCAACGATCCATGCTGTAATACTTGCGTGTTGGGACGCACGGGTCATATTTTACGATACCTCAAGTTTCTTGACAAGGAGGATGTGCATAGGAAGGAATCAAAACATTGTTTAACAGATAACTTTCGATATATACATTACATTTGCAATTGCTTTAGTAGCAGCTAACACCCTACTTCGATGTGTCCAGAACATAGCGTCCAGCGATAGCACCCTTGTTCATCTTGTCATACACCATCTGGAGTTCAGAGAGACCAACGACCTTGAACGGAGCCTTGATCAAGCCGCGGCGGAAGAACTCGATAGCCTCTGAGCTGTCCTTGCGGTTACCGACGTATGAACCTTGGATTCTGATCATCTTGATGACAGTCTCAAAGACGGGTGCCTTCAGGTAGGCGCCAGCGGGGAGACCAATGCAGATGACGGTACCGCGTGGGCGGACGTACTCGGCGGCTTGCTGGAAGGGCTTCTCGTTGACGGCAACGAGGATGACAACGTGGGGACCAAGACCATCGGGTGTTGCCTTCTGGACGTCGGCGACAAGGTTCTTGCTCGTGGAGAAGTCAACAAAGGCCTCGGCACCAAGTTCTCCGGTGCACATCTTCTTCTTCTCATCGCCGGTGTCGATGGCGATTGTTCGTACACCCATAGCCTTTGCGTACTGGCAAGCAAGCGAACCGAGACCACCACCAGCACCGACGATGGCGGCGAATTGACCGGGCTTGACACCTGATTCCTTCAGACCCTTGTAGACAGTGATACCGGCACACAGGACTGGAGCAATGGCGGCGAGATCACATTCCTTGGGAATGCGGGCGACGTGAGCAGCCTTGGCGATGCAGTATTGCTGGAAGGTACCGTCGACAGTGTATCCAGATAGAAGAGGCTTGGGGCAGAGGGGCTCGTCCGCTTGCTGGCAGAAATCACAGGCCAAGCAGGAACCGTTCAGCCACTTGACACCTTGTGACGAGTTAGTATTACTCCAAAGGACATGTGTATTCGTATTCGAAAGTATCTCCAGAATGTACACGCTAGAAGAGGGAACTTACCAGCATAATCGCCAATCTCTACATCCGTGACGAGGTCACCTCGTGCGACAACGACACCAGCACCCTCGTGACCACCTACAAGAGGCAGCTTGGTGGCCTAGAGATAATTAGAACGTGACATCGGTACAAAGAAGAGAAGTACTCACCAAAGGCCAGTCGCCGTTCACAGCGTGAAGGTCAGTGTGGCAAACACCACTGTACTTGATGTTGACCAGAACCTCATCAGGGCCAGGCTGCTCGACGGGAATCTTCTTGTACTCGACGGGTCCACCGGTCTTCTGGATGACCTGCGCCCATTGCTCCTTGGGAATTTCAGGCATGTTGGTAATGTTGAGTGGGTATGATAGGTTGTAGAATTTGAGACTATCTGTAGTAGCTGATTGAAGATGTGATTGATGGTGAATGTCCTTGTATGCGTAGGAAGACGTACGCTTTATATACTTGTCGTCAATGCCGAAAGGATGTCAACGCTTTAACCCCACCTGGAGACCAACATGTCACTTCGCCAGGGTCCGGATACATTCGCGCCTTCTTACAGGAAGCTACAGGCAATGCGTCCGTTCATCCACGCCAAGCCAGGTCTCCTGCTCAACACGTCGGAGTTGGACGATCACTGATGGACCTTGTTCATTGGTCAATCATCAGAGAAGTACACATGTACAGTGGAGCTCTGGAGGGGTACACGGAGGAGGATTGGATGATGGCTGGATCATGATGCATCGGCTGGGTGGGAGCGACCATAGCGCGAGCGCGAAGCATCCGTGGTAAGGCGAAAACTATTGCCGGAAATAGGAAAGTTGGTGTGGCCTGACTCTAGCGCATGTAAATCAGCTCAGGGATTATGGTTCGAGGCAAACCGTCGTTGAGTATGGTGTGAGGGGTGATTTGGAGGATGGTCGGCTAGGTGGGGTCAGCGCCAGGCTTCTAGCTTCTTTCGACAGAATATCTCCTGAGACTCGTTGCTCAGCACACAACGGCCACGGCCGGTGCCGCAAATAACCCAAGACAAAAAATCTTACTTGTTCAAGTGACAGGTGAACTGAAGGCGTGGATGGCAATGGTAACGTCCTGCCCAGGCTCGGCCACAGTTCGGTTCAATCGCGCCTCGTCTCCATCTGGTCCCTCCACCGCATTACTCGACAGCTCATGTGAGAGCCAAATCCACGTAAGTGTGCATTTGAGTTGATGAAACCTGCCAGCTGGGTCGGTCGAGCGCAAATTCCAAACGCTATTGCCAGATCTTCTGCGTAAGCTCTCCCAGCCACATGTAGCCGTGCATCTACATCTCCCAATTGAGGACCTCGAGAAAGCTAAGCGACCAATAAGAGAGTCTTAGCTCTGCCTCTAGACAGCTCCACCACACGCGGCTCCTGTCGTACTATGCGGGGGTTCTGGATGCCAGGAGGCGTGGGAATAGCGCGTCCGCAATCGCGGGGTAGCGGACACTGGCTTGCTCGCGTCAATCGAAAGCGGCCGGATGTTACGGAGCAAAGGGACGGTTGACGATGGATATCCTGTGAGCTCAGAAACATAGGCTCCGAGCGAGATCTGCGTTGGCTGGGAAAGTGAGGGGCTGGAGACCTAGTGGTAAAAAGCACAGGGATTCCCAGGTCCGGAGAGCGGTGTTTTTCCCTGGACTGGCTGTGCGGATGACGGGAGGGCGAAGGCTCGGAGACGCTCGCAACCTTGGAGCACAAGGCCTGTCTTATACGTCGCATACATGAGTACCTTCATGACCTCCTGCGAACTACACGGCCGGTCGCGACAGGATGACAGGTCGAGTATGATAAACGACCAGCCTAATGCGGTCAGCTACGCTGCCCATCAAGGACTTAACTCGACCTAGGCCTTGGAACGACCGCCTGCTACGGTACCTAACGACTAATTACCATGGCAGACAGAACCTTGGAAGTACCTCATCTGAAAGACGAAACTCAACGACATAGTCTTACAAAGGTAGATAACCCCGACTTTGCATCACAGTTGGATATTCCAACTTACAAGATAGGCTATTGCAGGCTGCATGATCAAATCCATGCACGAAGACAAGGGACGCGAGTTTCACAGAATTCAATTGTGGTATCATTAATAGGCCGGAGCTTAAAAGCTCTCTCGTCATGAAATCATTACAACATAAGGCATGGAGGCGGAAAAGCTTCAGTTGAGAACTGATGCCCCATATTCGTACGTCTCTATTGCACCATCACGTCGACAGCCTCACCATTGCCGTTGGCCGGCCGCTCGTCGGCGTCCTGCAAGCCAAGAGGTAGAACGGGAGGGATGTCCTTTTGAGCAGCTCGTGCCTTGGTCTCCGCCCACTGGCGTAGGCGCACCAAGCTCCTCATGCGTGACTCTCCATGTGCCCCCATGCTCGTGAGTATCGCCTCGTTGACCTTGCTCGCGACATGCCGACGGAGTGAAGGTTCAAGCAGTTCATTGAGCTCCTTCTGGAGTGTTCCAGGGGCGGCGGGAAGGAAAATGAGCAACGACATAGTAAGCTCAAGATCCTTCAGGAAGTCCGTGTTCGTAGCTGCGCGAGGAGCTAGCTGAGACGACGCGAAGCTAAGAGCGGGTGTGATGTCGGATGCGGTAGAGGATGTGCATGCGCGGATGAGCTCGATGAGCTGCAGACGCAACAGCGCGAAGTGTAGCGATGGATCTGTGTCTAGAATCTGACTCGAAGTTAGCAAAGCTCAATAAAAGGTATGCGACATGAGTGAATGGGTTTATTTGCAATCATATTAAGGACTGAAGGTTTGATTATCATCAAAGAGATTCTGCGTGGTGCATGAAACTGGATATAATCCTGCAAAGGGTGGACGAAGCGGGAAGAGGATGCGTACCTGAGGGTTTAGATCATTGATCTTAGTAATGGCGGTGTCGATGTCGCCAGCATGGATAGACCGTCGTATTTCTACGCGGGATTGTATGGACTCCTCTTCAAGAGGCAGCTGGATGTTGGCTTCCTTGGCGAACTTCTCAGCAGCCCTCGGATAGCCTTCGCTGACCAGGTAGTCCATGATGACAAAGTTGATGTCCCTGAAGCGCATACGTTAGCTTGTTGATCGGATGCCAGACAGTGTAGCGCGCAATGCAGCAGCTACTGCGAGATCAGAGATACAAGTTAACATGTTCTCCACACGTTGTTTCGGAGAGATTCCCAACTTATTTTGAAATCATCATGTGGGGCAGTAGCTGAGGCGGCGCGGACAGGTAGCAACTTACGTCTTGGACGGCTTGATGTCATCAATCTTCCTCTGGAAAGGATGCTGTGTTGGCGTTGCCGCCGACACCGAAACGGTAGATGAGCTCTGCATGATTGTTAGAGGGTGGTGAGTTTTGCGACAGCAGATGTGTTGGAGCTTACCATGGTGAAGCGAGGCGCTCAGCAAGCCTCAGCCGACGTCCATCAGTGAAGGATAGAGCTGCCCGACCGTTGGTCGAGTGTGCTGGCAGTCACGCAAAGCTTGGTGCGTGATGAGAGAAAGTTTGCGAGTGAAGGTTCGTGAAAGAGAAAGACTGAGCTTGCGAGCTTGGCAACGCTAGTGGGGTGGGTCGTTCTTATGTAAGCACGAGCCTAAGTAAAGAGCCGCCCGCTGCAGAAACCCGATCGTGCTGGAACCCTGCATACACCCTCGACATTATTCAGTCTTGCTATAAGAGGTGCGGTTTGGTAGAGCATGATATAGCAGAGACACGGTCTCTTTTGGAAATCCGAAGAAATCACAAATATGGCCTCGGCAGGCCGCAAAACGCACTACGAACCGCCGTGGGGCAACGCGAGCATTATTGGTGTAGCTGGTAGTTCTGGATCTGGAAAAACTTCTCTGGCACTGGCGATAGTGGCATCTTTGAACTTGCCATGGGTTGTCATCCTGTCTATGGTGCGTACCAGCCTCGCACAGTGGGTCACGTGCTCCAATCAGCTAAGGACCACTGCATGTAGGATTCGTTCTACAAGCCTCTGACGCCAGAGCAATCTGCAGCGGCTTTCCGGAACGAATTCGACTTTGATTCGCCCGACGCTATAGATTTCGACATCCTGGTCGAGCGCTTGAAGGACATCAAGAGTGGCAAGGTGGCTGAAGTGCCTATATACTCTTTCCAAAAGCACGCCCGCCTTTCCAAAACGACCACGATCTACTCGCCGCACGTCATAATTCTAGAAGGCATATTTGCTTTGCATGACCAACGCGTGCTCGACCTCCTGGATCTCAAGATATTTGCGGAAGCCGACGCTGACCTGTGTCTCTCGAGACGTCTCGTACGGGATGTGAAAGAACGCGGACGCGACATCGAAGGATGCATCAAACAATGGTTCGCTTTCGTAAAGCCAAACTTCTACAAATATGTTGCGCCGCAAAGGGAGATTGGTGATCTCATCATTCCGAGAGGTATTGAGAACAAGGTCGCAATCACCATGGTGAGCAATCAGGTTCGACAGACGCTAGAAAGCAAGAGCATACAGCATCAGACGGAGCTGAAACGTCTGGGCAAGATCGCGGAAGATAGCCCATTGAGCGATAATGCTATCGTACTGCAACAAACGAACCAAATCAAGGGAATGCACACCCTGTTACTCAACCCGACCACGTCGAGAGAAGACTTTATCTTCTACTTCGATCGCATGGTTGCGCTTTTGGTCGAGAAAGCTGCGGATTTCTTGCCTTTTGAATCACACAAGATTACTACGCCCCAGGACTACACGTACCAGGGACTCAAGAAGGCTGCGGAAATCAGCGCAGTAGTAGTCTTACGTGGTGGAAGTGCATTCGAAACGGGCCTTCGAAGAACCATTCCAGACTGCAGGACCGGGAGAGTATTGATTCAGACGAACTACAGTACTGGAGAACCGGAGTTGCATTACCGGGCTCTTCCCGAGAACATCGCAGAGCATGGACTGGTCTTAGTTCTAGATCCGCAATTCTCCACAGGTGCAGCGGCATTGATGGCGGTCAGGGTATTGGTTGACCATGGCGTACCGGAGAACAGAGTTGTCTTTGTGACATATACGGCAGGGCGCGTAGGTCTTAACAGGGTGTTGAGCGTGTTCCCAGACATCAAGATTGTGGTTGCAAGGCTGGGTCATGACGAAGAGGCGCGTTGGATCGAAACTAAGTACTTGGGATGCTGAAACGGGTGCGCAAATCACGTATAACGCAGGTAACGGCGAGTTTGTTGAGATTGCGTACCATCTTCAGTATATGATCGCATTTCACACATGATTGTATATAACCAACATGGTCTTGCCCGAACGCCGTGCCTCGTGCCAACGCCGATAAATGCCAGGTTCGCACCGAGCCAATGATGCACCGCTGTATATGTTGGGTATCATAGGAAGTACTCTGTCGTGACTTCCTTGCCTTGCTGTTGCTGCTGCTCTGCTCGGTGGACATCGTTGTCGGGGCTCGCATCGAAAACATTGAAAAAGCGTTCACCGGTATCGCTGACCTCCAGTACACTCGCCATGTTACCGCACCGATAGCAGTAGTTCGGTGCACTCCAAACCGTGCTAAGTCTGTCATCGTACAGAACCTGATAGCCCTCTTGACATAACTGATGTGCGCGTAGAATATGTGACATGGAGTTGACTTCCAGAAACTTCTTGACAACTTGTGCTCCAAACGTATAACCTGCACCTCTTGGGCTGAGCGAGAATTCGTCTCGTTCGGGATCTGGGTCGCTCCAGACTAGGTCCGCCATGGGCCCCTCGTGAGGTATCTCTCGGAAACGGTCGATGATTTTGATTTGGTCGATGGAATGTATTGACGGCGAGAGGCCACCGTGTACGCAGAATATCTGGTCGTTGATGACGACGGATAGGGTGAGGAAGTCGAACATGTCGGTAAAGTAGTGCCATACATTTGCGTTCCCGTACTTCCGCGAGCATTCGGTGTAGAAGCCGTAGGACTGAGTGACTCCGCGCGATTCGTGGTTTCCACGTATAAGGTGGACTCGGTGTGGATAGCGAAGCTTCAAGCATACGAGGAGCGATATTGTTTCGACAGAGAAGAGACCGCGATCGACGTAGTCACCTAGGATATATTAGCGTCATGAAACGAGGTCGCGTGCAGCATACGGCCAATGGACGGAGACGCACCGAGGAAGAGGTAGTTGGTGTCGGGACACGGCCCGCCAATCTTGAATATCTCCATCATATCGAAGAACTGGCCGTGGATGTCACCCACGACAGTGACGGGCGCTCGGATGTGCACCACATTGCTCTCTTTCATAAGCAGCTCCTTGGTTTTGGCGCATATTGCCTCGACCACCGACTCGGCGAGCAGCTCCTTCTTCGACAGGCGCGATATGCATTCATCGAGGTCTACGGTAGCTGCCACAATGTCAGCACAGCCACCCAGGGAATGCGCAGGCGTCGGCGACTGACGTACACGGTAGGCCGGGCATGGTGGTGTTTGTGGGGTGGGTGTTGGTGTTGGGGCATTCGCGGCGCAGCTCAGGGTATCGAGTCTATACTGGTCGCTAGCAGGTGTCTGTATCGTACAATCATCCTCGGGGGCGCATCGAGGGGCGGTATCTGGGCGATGGCGCGAAAGGCAGCGACATGGCAATGGGGGGCAATATGTGCCTGTCGGCCTGAAATGCGGCGGCATCCCGCGCTGGCCCTGGCCCAAGCGCAAAACGTGACCACGCTCCAGATTTCATTTCTACGCGACAACCGTTGGCATGCTTCAATGGGAAGGGGATGCACTCGGCGTTATCACCTCTCAAGTCTTCCCTCCTGTCGCGTCATTAGATTCTGATGTCCTGAGGCCAACCTCCTGCATCCCTCGCAACCCGCCATCTGCATCCTGCTGTGCTCTCAATAGCAACTTCCAAGGGTTTTCCTCACATCAGCCTGGCTTGTTTCACTTCAGGGCTCTTTCCGTCAACTCAATTCCGTCTTTCCCAACGTCATAGTTCCGCCCCAAATCATTCAGCCTTCACGCGTTATCAGAGCACCCTAAGTTCAAAGTCCCTCCATGAGCTTGGGCTTCTCTTTCGTCGTCCTGGCTCGTGCGCTCGACCAGACCAAATTTTGAGACGCGCACCTCTCAACTCAAGAACACTTGCCTACATCCAGTCCGACCTACATCACCACTTCCGAGAAATTCATCGACTCCATTTCTTTCTATACAGTCCCGAGCATCTCACTCCTGACGTGCATCGCAACAGGTAATTTCCAGAGTGGGCATGTCGTGGAGCGGGCCCGTAGCAGGTTCGGCGCCTTTCCAGCAGCAACCGTATGGCAATGGCCAGCCATACGGCCAACAGCCGCCCTATCAATATGGACAGCAGCCAGGACAACAACCAGGATACGGACAATATCAGTCAGGAGCTGCCTATCCGCCGGCCGGTCCACCTCACCGTGCTCCTCATGTTCAGTAGGTTTCTTTTATCTCACCACGTACTTGCAGTTCGGCCAGATATTTTGAAAAGAACAACAACATCGAACCTCAAGTTTAGATTCCCCAAAGGCCGTTTTCTGACATATGTGTAGACCTCCAAAGAAGAAGGGAAATCCGATAATTACTCGGTATCCCCCTCCCCCAGGCTATCGTGGGCCGGCGCAACCCCAGGGTCCTTTTGGAACCACTCAGTTTTCCAATCAGTACCAACCGCCGCAGCCTACATTCTCACAACCACCCCCAGTACCTCCAAGTTACCCACAGCAAGGTTATGCTGCTCCCCCTGCGCACCATGGCTATTCCGCTCAGGGTTATAATCAGCCGCCGCCCCAAGCTCCGAATTATCCACAGGCCGCATATCCGCCGGCGCAAGCTAATTATCAATGGCCACAACCAGGTTATCAACCAAATACAGGTTACTCGCAACCTCCGAGTCAACCTCCTGCGCAGCCCTATGCACCACCACAGAGCCACTATCAAGGATACCAGCCTCAGCATGCGGCCACTAACACCAATCAACAGGCTTATGGACAGAATCCAGCGTGGTCACAGCAGCAGGGGCAAGCATCCTATCAGTCAAACCAATACAGCTCAATCAACGGATTACCCAACGATAGTCACTCCACGCCGGATCCTCACGCTACACCAACTCAGGCGACTGTTCATCTCACTACATCTCGTCCCCTTCCACCGTCTAATCAGTCCACTAGTGCTTTGAGTGAGGGGAGTTCAGGCGAAAAGCCGCAACTGTTCCTTGCCTGGGACGACTGGGATTTCGATTTTGATGGTGCTATCTGGCCCAAAAGCAATGAACCTGTCGATCCGGCCCTAAGTCTCGGGGTTATCATCTGGCATCCCGCAAAGCAGGTAACACGTGCATTACCATCAACCTTCGCCGAGGCCGAAGAAGACGCACTGAAACCCACGCCGGAGAAACTGGACAACGGAGATTCAGTGTCGATGTACTTTACAGCCGACAACTCGCATGAGGCTTTCTTGAATGTTAGGCAGACAGACGAATGGGAGACACTTCAGGATGATCCAGTCTTCGTCGTATTCACAGACGAAGACATGAAATCCAATCTCGTCTCGCTAGAGGATTGTATTGCTCAACGAGATCGACCGGACGAATTGTACGAGGAAGTACAGCAGGATGAGGATCTGGAGATGCGCGATGCGACGTGGGACATTATGGATAACCTTGAGCAAGCACTCGCTACAAACAGTGGTTCCACCAAACCTGCCACTACGGAGTCTGAGACAGCACCTCCTCAACAGCTAAGCCAAGAAGACATCCTGGCTAAACTGGGCGTGACCGGGACTCCGAAGCCACCATCAGATGAGCAGATTTCACTACCATTATCTGCCTCCGATGCGAAGATCCCATCGGCACTTCCTGGTAAGCCATCATTACCTTCTGCCTTCACAAAGACTGCAGAGCCTGCTCTTCCACCTCAACGAGCGCAATCGTATGGAGGCCATCGCAACAATACACATGGACCTCCGCTGCCTCGGCCGTACGGCTCCATGTCGTCTTCCACCACCTCTAGGCCCCCACCCCCACCTCCACCCCCAGAACAACAACGCTACGATCCTTGGAATGCGCCTCAGCGTAGTGGCCATGGTCTCGATGGCTCCAGGGGCAGTCCGGCGCTCTCTGAAGGAAGCAACCACACCATGGCTGGCTCTGATTTCGAGCCCGAAAACCCCAGCAACGAGATACGACAGGATGTGCCAAGTGCAACCTCACTCGACCGAGGCGATAGCTCTTTCTCTCGGAAGAGGAGCTATGAGGATGCGGACCACGAGCATGAGCGCTTGCGGCAGCAAGAAGACTACAGCAAACGAAAGCGGCGCTCTCAAGTTGATGCTGCGTACAGGTAAGCCCTGCCAATTCCATTTAACGCTCTCCAATTCTCGTGCAGTATCTTACTAGTTACAGCCGACGTTGAACGTCCCGTCAGTATTTCGGCACACCCACTGCAATGCTTGCTCGGAACTTTTGTCAGAGCCGTCAATTCTTGTGGCTGCCGTTTCATTCGTCAAGAACACCTCCCGCCAGCCTCTTGACCTTGAACAATGGTCTGTCTAAGATACTAGATCATTCATTTTCGCCAGCATGTTATCATGCTGGGTGATGCCCTACATTTTCATTCACTGCTTTGCTACTACACCCTCACGTCTACAGGGGTTGACGACTGTGATCCCATTTTCTGTCTAAAGAATGCTTTGATGAGTTTGTTCAGAAAGGGTGGCTTATGGGTATGGCGTCATTCAGCGCTTGATGTTTATTTCACAGGGCACGTTAAGTCCTTTTCTCTTCACTGTCTGTTCCAGACGTTCTATTATCTTGTCATCTTCACCACTATTTACATTAATCTCATTCGATCTTCCCAGTTGTCGCGTCAAATTCTGTCGATGTCATCCTTCTATCTGTTCACCTACCACCATGTTTGATCCTTGTTCTTCAGATTACATTTCCTTAGTGTTTAGTCCCTTACTTGGCTCGGAGATTGCGATCCATGTTTTATCCCTGTAGTCCAGCAAGATCACACAATCGTATATGCAGTAAGTATATTGGTATTTGTGGTGTGCGTGCCTAGCTACTTCAAGTAAAATGGCGTCAGCCACAGGATATGCATACTACGCTGGCACTCAGGTAATCAGCTGCAAGCTATTCTCTACCTTTCAGCGAGGGATGTGACCTTGAAGATCTTTGATCCATGATGCGCAGCAGAATCTACAGGCTGAGCCACATGTGCTCATATCAGGTGCTAATATCAGGTGCTGGGGAGGACAGCTGTTCTTTATGTGATTCAACCTGCGTACCACACAAAGCGTTTGTTCTAAATGGGACATGAACACGTACATACTGCACTAGAAAATCAAAATGGATTATGTGCAATGATCAGTAGTCTTGTATATCTGATAAGTGACATGTGAATCTGTGCGAGGCAGGCAATTGGTTTCAAGAGCTTGCCACTCGGTAAGAACAATCTAGAAACGAAAGATTGGCCTGGAAAGACATCGAATTGCAGAAGCGGCGCTCCATCTTGACTAGCGCTATTGTTGCAGCGGTGGTTCTCGTATATCGTATTCCAGGTACCTCGGCGGGTGCACAGCCACGCACAGCCACAATGTGCGTCATCAGATCAAGCGACTCCAGGTACCTCTCACTCAGGCGACACCCCAACGCCAGAACAACGACTACGACCTTGTACCTACAGCTGCGCACCCCAACCCAGAACTCTACATCGCGAATCACTGTCATCATGTGCGGCTCCGACTGCTTCTTGATGCTCCTAAGCGTCCTGGTACGTCCACGCCCCCAAAGCTGCAGCAGGCACCAGCCATCTCTCTGCGACCCACCGTCTCCAAGTACTGACACGTCAACTAGTTCCCACCTGTGGGGGTATGGGTAAAGAAAGGCCTCTGCAGTGCCGACTCTCTTATCAACCTCGCGCTCTGCTGTCTCGGTTTCCTGCCAGGCCTCCTACACGCCTGGTACGTGATCCTCCAAAACCCAGATCCGTACGACGCATACCAGCAAGTGCCCGATCGCGAACGCGGCGCAAACAGCAACGGCGGAACCACATACTATGTCATCACCCACGAGCAGCCGGCTGGAGGACAAGCGAATTACGGCACCGTGGGCAGCCAGCCAAGCAACGGCCAGTTCCCCGGACAGCAGAGTGGCGTGACAAACAGCTTTGCGCAGCCAAAGGGAAGCAAGGCCGCGAAGGGCGCTTCAGCCCCGAATGCTTCTGCACCGCAAGCCGGCGAAGGTAGCTCGAGTCAGCCTGAAGGGCCACCACCGACCTACGCAGATGTGATCAAGGGCGACAACAAGGTTCAGGGCCCATAAATGGACAGTCTTGGGCGTATATGTCTCAAGAGAAGGGACATGTAGACCAGTACAATACGTGTTAAGCGGCGCACAGGATTGCTTGGACTGGCAGTAGGGCGTTCATGATACTGGATACGGATATCTCATGTGGGAAAGGAGTACTTGATGTAAACATTATAAAGGATTCAATAACTTTGCTACGTCTTTCTCTTGCAGCCATGGTACACGCGACTAGCTTCTTGATCATGCACGTTGTGAGACTCCCGCCCGTACGTCATCGGCCGGATTGCATACTGTGGCTGCATGAGCGACGGCAGACGTACAGATGCAAAATTGCGAACCGTGTCTAACTATCACACTGAGCGCTATGTGTATGAGCAATCTCGAATTCGATTTTTTGCGCACGAATCAGGTTGTTGCGGCGTGCCGCCACCCACGTCGCTGCGGCATGCCTTCGGCGAGTGCGCACCAATGCTGTGAGGACGGCCCCGGCATTTCTCTTGCTTTGTGCCCGCCGACATCCATGGCCGTTGCGCAACTTGCCTAGTTGGGCAACAGATATGAGAAAAAGCAAGAAACGTTCGATCGTGTTGAAGCAGGCGACAGGATTTATTTTCCCTCGTGTGCGGTGTCCCCTCGAGGGTGAGCGCGCCATCATGGCGCCATCATTGTGCCATCATCACTCCAGCCGTGCAACTGGGCCAAGGACATATGCACGCGCAGATCAACAGGTCAGATGCGATGTATGGCTAAGGATACTATCTTATCGCATACATGTGAATATATGATTAAGCAGACGCTATTTCAGATGTCTGTCGTGGCCCTATGGCGTCTTGCTGCAGATGTAAGCTTTGATACTTGCCGTGCATAGCAAGACTATTCGCGGTTTTCCCGTCGCATTCGGATGCAAGCAGACGCAAAACAAGCGTCTGGAGCTTACGGTGTACAGCATACGTGGTAAAACCTCCAGGGTGCAGCCTGCGACGCCGGCCAAACAGCCATGGGGGAAAGCAAGGAAACTTCGACAACACCAGCAGTTTCCCCAGATCGAGTATCGTGATGCTTTGCTAGTGCGCAAGCTGGCATGCAGGGTCGACCAGTTAAGCGTTTCCAAGTCTAGCCGCGTCGTCATGCCCAGACCGCCTCTGCGCCCCGATGCTAGCCCAAGCCCCCAGCCAAGGGCCTCGAGTGAATCTTGGTTCTCCGTAACAAGGCTTGACTGTCATGACGTGAAGCTTCGCACATCTGTCTTCCGAGAGGCAATCACATAGACTCCGAACGCAGTGATTTGCGATTGCATGCGCGCGCTACTGTGAACACAGCCTTTTGACAATCTCGTTAGCTCCTATTTGCCCCCGTCAACTGTGGCTGAGGCGTTTCTCATTCGCGCATTCACACAACAGCCACAACTATACTCGTCAGTGTTCGACTCGTCAGTGCGCTGGCCTCCTGTCAACACAGGTTTAATTACCCTTGGCCCCTTCCTCCCTTTCTCCATTCACTCACCGGTCCTTTGTTCTCAGGGCAACCCTTCAACGACAAATCTCCGATACAGATTGCACGCGTACCTGCGTCTGTTTCTCCCCGGTTGCATCAGGCACATTTCTTCGCGCGCTTGTTGGTCCAGACAATTATTCGCCCCCAATACATCCGTTTCGGCCCCCAGCCACCCGTTCCGAATCACAAGCAACTCGTTCCGAGTACTCACTTGGCATATCGAGCTGCAGGTCGCACTTCAGCACGACTCCCAACTGGACCGTATATCCACCACTAAGTGCAAGAAGACGGCACAGCTGCCGCGAAAGTAGATCAATGCGTAAGTGGATCCACATTTCCGAGAATCGAGATCGCGATAGGTCTCCATTATCCCTCGACCCGACTTCTTCTGCCAAACACCAGAACACATCTAATAATGAATCTAGACACCGTACGAAGGCAGGCACATCGCGTCGCGTCGCAACATGGCGGCAATGGCGCGGCGAACTACAACCCATTCGCCCGACAACGGTCCCGAGACGTTAACCTAGACGAAGAGAATGCGGTACACAGGACGCGATCGGAAACCCATGCTACACCCGCCATCGAGGAGCAAAGACGGCTAGAGAGCATGCAAACAGGCAACGAGTTCGGTATGCCCGGCCACCACAACACCGAACCATCTACATCTTCTCCAACATACGGAAGCGCGTCTACGACTATCCCGGAGTCAACGGAGGAGAAGGATCTGATGTCCGAAACGAATGGCGCGCACAAGGCTTCCGGCGACAGTACCATTGCGCCTTCCAACCCAGAGGCCAGCGTCGGCCCTACCCGACGTGCCAAATTCAAGGGCATCTTCCGCAAAGACCATGATGCACCAGATGTTGAGGCAGAGGACCCGGAAGACGACGAACTTTCGCTAGAGGAACGCAAGAGGAAGGCTCACAAGAGGAAGATCCCGGTCGGCAAACAGATCCGCTTCGTCCTTTTCGGTGCTTGGATCAATGTTCTCCTCATCTTTGTGCCCATCGGGTTTGCTGTTAGATACGCCCACCTGAAGCCCGTCCCGGTTTTCGTCATCAACTTCATCGCCATCATCCCGCTCGCAGCCATGCTGAGTAATGCGACGGAAGAGCTGGCCATCCGTGTTGGCGAGACTCTTGGTGGGCTGTTGAACGCTACCTTTGGCAACGCCGTCGAACTGATCGTGTCTATCCAAGCCCTGCTCAAGGACGAGATCACTATCGTCAAGACTTCACTCATTGGCAGCATGTTGTCGAATTTGCTATTGGTATTGGGTATGTCCTTCTTCCTGGGAGGAATCAACCGCCTGGAACAGTTCTTCAACGTCACGGTTGCACAGACGGCGGCATCGTTGCTTGCTCTCTGTGTTGCATCGCTTATCATTCCGACTGTCTTCCACAACACCATCGCCGAGGACGACAGCACCGCGAACAATGGTGCAGCCGATGCTGTCAGGAACCAGGAATTATCACACGGCACGGCTGTTATCCTCCTCTTGGTCTACGCTTGCTACCTAGCCTTCCAGCTAAAGACTCACGCTACTATGTACAACGAGCCTAGCCAAAAGGTCCCTAAGCGCAAGTCTGGCAAGAAGGAGGAGGGTGATGCTTCACGCGGCATCGCAGCCATTGGCGCCGGTACCGCCGCGGCTTCTGGAGGCGGTGTCAACATGAAGTCACTTTTCAAGAACCCCGACGGCTCAGAAGACGACGATGAAGAAGAGGAGTTCGAAACACCCTCGCTCTCTGTTCTTGGCGCTCTTGTCACTCTCGCAATTTCCACAACTCTTGTCGCTTTTTGCTCAGAGTTTATGGTCGAAAGTATCGAAGGTCTTACCGATACCGGTAAAATCTCTACTACCTTTGTCGGTCTTATCTTGCTTCCCATCGTCGGTAATGCTGCCGAGCACGCCACCGCTGTCACTGTCGCCATCAAGGACAAGATGGATCTGTCTATCGGTGTTGCTGTCGGCTCCAGTATGCAAATTGCTCTTCTCGTCTTCCCGTTCATCGTTATCTTGGGATGGATCCTTGGCAAAGACTGCATGACTCTGTACTTCGACAACTTCCAGATCGTCACGCTCTTCGTCTCGGTATTGCTCGTCAACTACCTCATCCAGGACGGCAAGTCACGTAAGTTTACTGCCCTGCTCTGCTCCTGTGCGCACTTTACTAACAAGTTGCAGATTGGCTCGAAGGCATACTGCTCATGGCCAGCTATATCATCATTGCACTGGCCGCCTGGTTTTACCCCGAGATTGCGGAGAACCAGTGCTAGACGTGGTCTCATACAGACTATTTCTTTGTTTTCTTCATGTCCATACTTGTAGGGTTTCTACGGAAAGAGGTGGTGAATAGGGAGTCTTCTTGGTTTACATGGGTATACATACTGCAGCTACAACCGTTTCCTTCCGAATTTGTTCCGATACCCAACAACACGACAGGTGTATTGTAGCACCTTATACTCATAACAATATAAAGAATAATGTCTAACACGAGTTCTCATCCATGATCCATATCATGTATCTGGGCTACAGGTTACGAAACATCGCGATCGTTGGGTTGTATACGAGCCGAAACGGGCGCCGCTCTCGTCCTGTGCAAATATCATGAATATGAGCCTGCGCTAACCGAATCAAAAGTCAGGAAACCTCGAATCGGGTTGGCGCCTATAATGCCTGCGTCACTTACGATTACAACCATTCTGGAGGTGCGAGGAGGCTCTCATCAAGCCGCGCACATCGTATCTGTGCTAACCAGGGCTAGGAATTCTCAGATGGGTCTGGCGCCCACTGTGGCTTCTTGGGCCACAAACGCAACTCTTTTGAGGGGGCCGGGAGGCTCTCAGTAAGTCGCGCAGATTGATTAGACTATGCAAAAACCACGAAAACCACGAAAGCTCGAATCGGTTTACCGCCTACAATGCCTGCGCCACTTACGATTACGACTATTCTGGAGGTGCGAGGAGATTTCCAGCAAGCCGCGCACATTGTATCTGCGCTGACCTGCCCCAAATCAGGTACGCGCAAATGGGTCTGCCGCTGACAATGCCTACTTCGAGCACAGCCGTCACTCTTTCGAAGGGGCCAGGAGACTCTCAGTGAGTCGCGTACAGTGGACGACCAACAAATTTGCATTATGGGATTTCAGACGCTCACTCACCTCGATTTGGGCAAACCGACCCGAAGTGCTGGTAGAAATGGCCTCTGACATGTATCTTCCATGAATTACTCTCTCACCTCAATCTGGACCTCCAGCGTCTGCTGCGCATCTCTCTCACCTGGCTCCCCGCTCCATCGTCTGCCCTGTGTGCCTCTATATAAGTCTCACTTTCTGCATCTCCTCCTTCCTTCCTACACCGCACTCCTCCTCATTCTTCATAAGTCTTTCAAGCCTATCATAACCTTCATTCAGTCCACTACTACTACCTAAGCCCCAACTCAACGTCCAGCCATCATGGCCGAGCCGGATGACATGAACGCTATGTCCGAAACCCAACTCCCGGTACCAACTGACGAGAACTTCGATCATGATCAAGACGCACTTATGGCAGAGTCTAATCGTGAGGACGACATGGCCGATGCTCAGGTCCCGCTATCACAAGTCGAGAACATGGATCACGATCAAGACACACCTGTGCCTTCAATCGAGCAAGTCCGCGATCCTGACTCGCTGTTCATTCCTGAAGACGAACCCCCTTCCCAGATCATTACGCCTCAACAAGAACCCGTCGCACCCATCGCCACTCCGCCAATCCTTACCCCACCTCGTCCAAAGGTGACCGGTCAATCAGTCATTCAGAAGATTCGCGCCATGCAGAAAGAACGGCAGCACCAGAAGCTGGTCGCTAGTAGACAAACACCAGCATATCCGATCCACTCCAACCTTGACGACGAGGCGTACCTTGAGGCTGTTAGACCAGGACAGTCTTCATCCGCTGCTGTCCCAGCTATCAGCGAGGACGATCTCGCAGACAAGAAGGCAATCAAAGATTTCCAAGTGAAGAAGCGTTATTTCGATGAGCAGAGGAGGAAGAAGGGTACTCTATCATTCCTGGAGGATGTTGAGTGGTTGAAGATAAAGGGTGACGAGGAAGCCAGAAGAAAGAAGCGAGCTCGCGATCTTGCCAAAGAGAGAGAAGAGAAGGACGGCCAATTTGACCTTTTTCCAGATTTTAATCTCACACCGAACATCGTGGAAGAGGTGGAGTCTGACCAAGCTTTCGATTTGGAAGACCTTGGAACTCGCAAGCGCCGCCGACCGATGCCCACCAAAGAAGCGCAGCCTATGTCAATGCAAGATGCCGAGTTTCAGAGTATGCGAGTGGCTCTTGAAGCTGAAGGCGACGCATCGCGGAAGAAGCAGAAAGGAGCTGTAGCTTCGGCAGAAGAACAGGCATCTGTGCCTTCTGGTCGTGGCAAAGGCTCTAAGGGAAAGGGACCTGCGAAGCAGAAATCTGGCCCTAAGAAGCAGATTAGGACCCGTGGTGGTAGATCTTCAGCAAAGAAACAAGAGGTGGACCACGCATACAAACAGGCAACATCGCTTTTCAACTCCAATGTCTTCCAGCAACAAGCCGGCACCAGCGCAGCGGAGCAGCCCACATTCAGATCAAGAAACAAAACCGATGCGCTAAAAGAGCTCATCGCCAGCGTACCTATCGCGGAGCAGAAGAAGGCAAAACGCGACATAGACATCCTCTTGGCTGCAACAAGGGATTTCGATGGGCACGCTCAGGTCAAGGCAGACGGCGGTCTCTGGCGAGTCAAAGGTATGAGCACCTCACTCAAGCCCTACCAGGTTCTTGGCACAGCCTTTATGCGTCGCCGAGAGAACACAACCGAGGAGCCAAGAGGGGGTTTGATGGCTGATCAGATGGGACTTGGAAAGACCCTTATGATGCTGGGTAAGTGAACCAAACAGAGCTCATCGAACCAAACTGACTCCTTTAGCGAACATAATAAACGGTCGACCGCCTAAGAGCGATACAGGCCCCAGGACAACTCTACTTATTGCCAGTCCTGCACTCTTGACTCAATGGAAGAACGAGATCGAACTGCATACCGACGCTTCCAAGGTCAACATGAAGATCATGCGATACGGTGCCGGTACACGCCTTGACTCAACCAATGCCCATCAGATCTTAGCAGGACACGACGTCGTTTTGACTACGTATCACGAGATTATGCAGTCATATCCCAAGAACGAACCGCCTATCGAATGCCAGACCGCGGAGCAGAAGATAGCTTGGTGGAAGCTTGTCTTTGAGAAACAGAGGGGCCCTCTACACCGCATGATGTTCTTGCGCGTCGTGCTCGATGAGGCCCAGGCTATCAAAAACCATATGTCGCGGACATCAATCGCTTGTCGAGCTCTCATGGCGCATCACAAATGGGCCCTTAGCGGTACTCCAATCCTCAACAGCCTGACGGAGCTCTACCCCTACTTCAAGTTCCTTGATGTTCCTCACACTGGCAGCTTCAAGATCTTCAAGAACAACTACTGCGACAGCAAGAACCAGGAGAACACCGAGAGGCTGTTGGTGCGCCTTTCGCAATTCATGATCCGACGGACCCACGCGGATGAGATGTTTGGCGCTCCCATTCTGAAGCTTCCGCAAGCCGACCAGTCAACTTATTGGTGCGAATTTAACTCCGTCGAGAGGAGCATCTACGACATCGTCCGCATACGCTTTGCCAAGTGCATCAACATGTGGGCGCAGAACGGTACTTTGGACAAGGCATACAGCAACGTGTTGGTGTAAGTTACCCCTTCCAGCCCACGCAACCTTGCTAACAATACATAGAATGCTTCTTCGCCTTCGGCAACTGACAGGCCACATTCTAATGCTCCAATTCGTCATACGTGACCTTCTCGAGCGCGAAGACATCGAAGCCATCAAGGAGGTGGTCGACAAAGAGGCTCAGACTAGCAACCAGAAAGGCGGACATACGATCATTGCCGTTCGCAAGCAACTAGACAAGGTCGCAGCTGATCAGAAGAGAAAGACTGCCGATCTTGAAGCCAAGAAAGAGGCAGCGAAGAAAGCTACCAAAGAGAGGAAAGATGCTGCTAGGAAAGCCGCAAAAGAGCGAGGAGAGGACTACAAGTCAGATGACGAGGGCGCCAACAACAACGCTTTCGACAAAGACGATGATCTACTCGAAGAAGATTTCGACGAAACCATCGACGAAGACCCCGCAGATGACATTTTCCAACAATCCGACGCAGGTGGTGGATTCGGCAAAGACTTTAACTTCAAGCCCTTCCTTAACAGCCTCAAGACTGGCGAGAGCTGGGAGAAGACAAAGCAGAAGGCCCAATGCGCCTGGTGTGGCAGGCAACCCCGAGCGCCACAAATAACGTCCTGCGGCCACCTCATCTGCAGTGAGCCATGCCTTGAGAACGTGGTCGTTGAGATGGCTGAGGCGGATGACCCAGATGCATTTCCAGCATGCAAGGCGTGCGGTGCTACCCCTACTCACATTCACCCTTGTGAAGTAGACGAGGATGATACCCCCGATGCGCCAGCACGAGGTACACGTGCCAACAAGAAGAAGAACAAAGAGAAACAGCGCGCACGCCTCGATCGCGAGGAAATCTCAGGAGAATGGCTTGATCTGGCTGGCGAGGACGTTCTACCCTCTGCAAAGACGATTGCCGTCAAGAGCCAGATCATGAACTGGCTCAAGGAGAACAAGCAAGTCAAGATCATCGTCTACACGCAGTTTCTGGCCATGTGAGTAGCTTTGGCTCCTTGATTTCCGCACTTCAAACGCTAATAACCCACAGGATCCGCATTTTGGACGCCGTATTTCGAAAAGAAGGTTGGGTTTCTGAGAAAGTAAGTGCCACCCGGACGGCGACATGGACTTTCGTACGCTCGTTTGACACTGAAATCAACCGCGAATACCTCCCGGCACTACCCAAATCCTCAGCCTATTATAGATCGTTGCTAACATATTGCGCAGTATCATGGCAAAATGAGCCTGGGCGCCCGCGACAAGGCCATCAGTACGTTCGCCGAGAACCCCGATTGCAAGATCATGCTCGCGTCTCTCCGCTGTGGTGGCTGTAAGTCCTTCGAATCAATATTCTAGGTGACTTTTTGCTAACTCCTTGCAGTGGGTCTCAACCTAACCATGGCCTCCAAAGTCATCATGATCGATCCCTGGTGGAACTCGGCCTCCGAACAACAGGCTTTCTGCCGAGTATTTCGCATCGGCCAGCGGGAGGAGACGTTCATGAGCAGGCTCTGCGTCAAAAACACAGTCGACCAGACTCTGATCAACATGCAAGATCGCAAGGACAAGGAGATTGCTGCGATCATGGAGGACGATGGCAAGACCATGAAGAAGTACGTGTTGATTTCTCTTGGCGATCGATCGACCCATAACTAACAGCGATCAGGATGGATACACGCACCCTGATGCGTTTGTTCGGTAACTTGGAGGAGGACCCCGATGGTAGGCCTTTCATCATGGTTGATAATCCAGATCCACGCGGTGGTTTCCGGGCTGATCGTGATGACGAGGGCTATGCCGACGATCTCTAGTGTGGTGTTGGGATTTCGACGGGTTTTGAGGTATACAGGCGTCTAAAAAGTGCGATTTTGAACTTTCTTGGGTCGGTTTGGGGACTACGGGCGTTGGTTTGGGCGTCGTGGAGTTCGATTTCGGGATGGCCTGGTGGTCTACACAGCACTCCTAGGATTTTTCCAGCGTCCAATGATGCGCTGGAGACCTCCCGGGACCATGATGGGAATTTGTTTTTGGGCTAAAAAGCTATCGAATGATGCAAAAGTGCTACTACCTCGTTGCTTTATCGCGCCTCTGCTGCAGTCATGGACGCGTTCGCCCGGCTAAGAAGAGTCTCCAGATAAGGGCCGAAGAGCCAGCCAATCAGGGGGCTGCTGATAGCGAGGTACCTCAGCGACGCAGGTCGGTCGCGTAGGCCCTCATCACCAGCCCAATGCGACGCCGATTCCGACGTGATTGCGCCCGCTTCCCTGTCCTTGGCCAGCCATGTTGAGCCCGCGAGATAGAGCCCCGGACCACGACAGCCTGCCATATCCACTGCAAGCTGATTAATGTCGCGTGAGAAGAGGCCCGTCAAAGCGCGCCCCGCCATTCCCCCACAATTTGCTTCTCCGGTAAACCGACAAGACCTGTAATGGAGAACAACACCACTGCGGACGCGCAACCGCCCTCTGACACGCCCAACAAGAAGGGACGCCGCAGCAAGAGGGATGCCGGAAGCGAGGACTCTAAGAAGCGCCGCTGCATCTCGTCCGCCTGCGTGCCATGCAGGAAGCGCAAGTCCAAGGTATGTTAGGTAACGGGAATTGGCCCTGATGCCCTTTCTCCGGCGTATACACACATTCTCCGGATGATCACCAGCCCCCTCGGAACCACGCGCCCTGTACGAGACCAGTCGCTAATCTGCCGCATAGTGCGACGGTACCACTCCCGCCTGCTCTGCATGTGCCGCCGTCTACAACACGCCGTGCATCTACGACCCCAACTCGGACCACCGCCGCAAAGGCGTCTACAAGAAGGACATCGACAATCTCAAGACGCGTAACTCCACCCTCCAGACGCTTATCCAGGCTATCCTGAACTATCCGGAAGAGGAAGTCGCCGACCTCGTACACCAGATACGGACATGCGAGAGCCTGGACTCGGTTGCGGAGGCTATCATAGCGAAGGAGAATGGCGAAGACGACGAGGATGAGCCCATCAGTCCGATCACAACGCCCACCATGGCGCCGGCAAAGGGCACATTCGAGAGTCAGCTGAGCGGGAAGATGGGCGAGCTGCGACTCGAAGATGGATCGACCAGATACATTGGCGGCACATCGCATCTCATATACCTGGGCCAAGGCAACGACCCTGCGGAATCGCCGGACACGTACTCTGAAGACCAGTACCAGGAGGCGCAGGACCCGTTCTGCTCGTGGACGACTGTCACCTCGGACCCGGAGCTTGTGCAGCATCTTATCAGCATGTACTTTTGCTGGCACTACAGCTTCTTCACTACGCTGTCGAAAAATCTCTTCCTGCAAGAATTTCAACAAGGCAAACCGCAGCTGGGATCCGGGAGGAAATCACAATACTGTTCGCCGCTACTAGTCAATGCTATGCTAGCACTGGGGTGTCACTTCACATCGTGGCCTGCAGCCCGGGCAGTCCGCGACGACTCTGCCACGGCAGGCGACCACTTCTTCAAGGAAGCTAAGCGGTTGATCATGGAGGACGATTTGCACGAGATGCCAGCTTTGACGACTGTACAAGCTCTAGCATTGATGTCTGTACGGGAAGCAGGTTGCGGGCGGGAAGCAAAGGGTTGGGTCTACAGTGGCATGTCGTTTCGCATGGCCTGCGACCTCGGCCTGAACCTCGGTATGCACAGCAAAGACACCATCGATGACAACGAAGAGGACGCGCGGCGGATCACATTCTGGGGCTGCTTCTTGTTCGACAAATGCTGGAGTAATTACATGGGACGATTGCCGCAACTACCCAACACGATCCTTACAGTGCCGAAGTTCGAAGTCTTTCCCAGCGAGGATGCAGAAACGTGGAGCGCAGTCACCGACTCCGGTCTCAGTCAAGCACACTCTCAGCCAAGTCGGACGCGTGCAGTCGCTCTCCAGATATCCAAGCTTTGTGAGATCTCCAGCGACCTCATGAACTCCTTCTACAACCCGATCGATATGGACAAGGTCAAGGGCAGACAGGCGGAGCTGAAGAAGCTGAGCGAGATACACATGCGTTTGGAGACTTGGAGAAGGGACTTACCAAAGGAGTTGGAGCCGAAGGAGGGCGGCTTGCCGCACATGCTGGTCATGCAGTAAGTACACCTGTCGTATGAGGGAAGCACACGTACTAACTCAATTGCAGCATGTTCTTTCAGTTATTGTATATCCATCTTTTCCGACCGTTCCTCAAGTACAATCCGAACAACTCGCCACTGCCCGCAAGTGTATCGCCGAGGAAGCTATGCACACAAGCTGCTGCCATGATCTCGAAGTTGCTCCGACTATACAAGCGATCGCATGGCTTGCGCCAGATATGCAACATCTGTGTCTACATCACGCACTCGGCATGCACCATACATCTTCTCAACCTACCAGAGAAGAATGCGAAGCGCGATATAATACACGGTGTCAAGCATCTCGAGGAGATAGCGGAAGGCTGGCTTTGTGCTCGTCGGACGCTCGGCATTCTCAGCGTCCTGGCCAAACGCTGGAAAGTCGACCTGCCCGAAGAAGCTGCCACAGTACTGTCCCGCACAGATACCAAGTATGGCCCCTGGAACGAGATCAGCACGCCGAAAGCAATTCGCCGTGGATCCGTACAGATGAGAGATCAGCATCCGTCGCCTGCGAGCCAGACATCACCCAGCCTCCAGCCATACAGCATGAACATGGCCAACATGGCAACACCCCAGTTCTTTGCCCAAGCCACAGCCAACACTTCCAGTTCCGTAAGCAATGATCCTTCCACGCGCCCCTCCAGCACCCACACCATACCTCCTTCCGACGCAAACGCCCTGGCTTACATGCGCAATCAGCACCAGGTCAGCACACCACAGAACTCATCAAACTCTCTCAACGCACCAACACCGGCGTCCACACAAGGTCGGCGATCCGTTGATGGCCAGACTACCGCCGGAAGCTCTCCAAGCCAACTCTTCGGCGGCGTCGACCAATTATTACGAGAAGGCCAAGACTGGATCTACCGCGATCAGACACAGCTCGCAACCGACTTTGAGAACTGGAATCCTCAAGGAATCGACGATATTGCGAACTGGTTTGCGAACACCACTAGCCCAGCGGGCGCGTTTCAGGGTAACACCAATGCGCCTGTTATGAGCAGTGAGATGAGTGGAGGGCCTGTGGGTGGCAATGGGGTCAATGGGTATACGAACGGGAATACGAGTGCTGCTCCTGCCCCAAGTTTGAATGGGTTCGGTGTAGCTGGATTTAATGGTATGGGCATGCAAGGGTTTACTTATGATGAGCAGAGCTGGTATCAATAGGCCAGTGTGGAGATGGTATTAGTATGTCTTTTAGCGAATGGATCACTTCTTGTCAGATATAGGATAGAGTAGCACGATCGATTAGCATTGATATTCCAGGCGCTACAACGGCGTCGGCAACTAGAAATGAACTAATAGACACATCTGTACCAAATGCCCTACACCCACATCTCTTCACCCCTTATGCGCTTCCCAAGAAACTTCTTGATCTTGCGCCAACACCTCTTCGCCTTCCCTTTCAACGAATGTTTCTCCTTATGCCGCTTCAGTACACGTCGAGCAATCTCATCACAATCCTCTTCCCATTCTCGCCAAAGCCTTTCCAGCATGGGATCGCCCTCGGTAAGCCCAGCCTCTGGTCTGTTGTCACGACTTGGGGGCGGTCCGATAGTCCTCTCGCTCCTTTGCACTTCTTCATGCGTCACATGCTGGACACTCAAGGCCTCTGCTTCGCGCAGTGAGGCGTTATCGCCGTCGTACTCATCGGGTAGGTAATGTCTGCCACGGGGCCGAGGCCGTGGGGAGCCTGGTTCCGGGGGTGTCGGTGGTGAATCTGTGGCATGTCGGCGATTTCGGTATCGGCGCGATTTCACGAGGTCTGGAACATTCTGGGAGACTGGCTTCCTGCGAACCTCTTCTTCTACAGGACTTAAGGCATGGGGTCGAAAATCTTGGAGTGGGTTTATGGTTTCTGAGTCGAGTGAGACGCGGGGCGAGGGGTTGGGTGGGGATCGCGAGCGGAGTTGAGTGTCGTTTTGAGGAGGCTGAGGGACTATGTGTATTGCTGATTAGTCAAGATCATAAATATAGGGTGATGGTGGTAGTCTTACAATCTCGTAGCTGTTCATGTAGCTCGCCTCTTTCGAGTTGGCGGACAAGGGTTGGATTTGAAGAGCGTGGGCGAGTCGAGTCGTCTTCGTGCAGTGGAGGAACTATTTGTACCACTGATCAGTAAGATGCAGTCGTATGGCATGTGAGTAGTCTTACCGTTTAGCCCTCTCTGGGGTTGTCGGGGATAAATATTGTGAGAGCGTGGGCGAGACGCTGCCGCTCGGCTGCTTTCTGGCTGTCCATCTCTATCCCGGCCATCAACACCGGCATCATCTTCCGAGGCAGACCCTCCCGTCGAAGTGAAACTCGCCACTGTGCGGAGTCCTCCCGAACGATCCCATTGTATATTCGGCGCTCTTCTCAGTGTAGGCGTTCTCCTTCCTCTGGGTGGATCGAGAACCCATGGTAAGACATCGTTGGGCAGGTTGTCTTCTCCCCTGTATCGGGCATATGGGGCTCCCGGTGATGTGGATCCTCGTCCTGGTGTGGATGACGGGAGGCTGGTGCGTCTGGAGCCGCGAGGGGGAGTTGGACTGACATATCCAGGGTCATTGTAGGCGTGCTGGCCCGGGTTTGGAGTTGCTCTGCGCGCCGCCATGTACTCGGCTCGTCTTTCTCGTGGTCCCATTGCATTGGTATTTGTGCGGTTTCGTGGAGCGAGGCGTGGTCCAAGCAGAGGATAACCTGTGCTGGATGTTTGCATTGTAATTAATGAGTTGAAATACGAGTCGTTTCCGAATGATACCGTTCGATCACGATGATTCACCGCTGGAGGTATCGCTATCTTTAACGATCGGTGGGTTGTAACATGTGACGTAAAGATAGAGAGATAGCGAGCGCCACGGTAACGTATATCAAGATGTTAAGGGGAAGCATGACGTGCGAGTGAATTGGACGTGTGAAAGTGATGACTGGGTTCGAAGTGAAGAAAGCCTTTTCAGCCGCAGGACTTGCCAAAGCTTCGTTGCCAAACATCGCAACTACCTATTATTACACAGCCGTGCCTCCCTCCACGTCTCTGACCGGCTCTTCAGGAAGTGTAAGCAGGGACATCTTGCGACTGGGACTTCCTAAAGAGTTTTGTATCCCCTCCATAGCCGCTGACCCGCGCCGGGTTGCACTTTCCACTGGATGCTCGGGCACTGATGCAGATAATTTGTCGGGTATGTTGTTGGCCTCCGCAGCTTTCGTGTCTATACTTGCGAGCGCTGTGCCGTTCATTTCGTGAGGATTGGGGTCACTCGAGGGATGTGGATGTAAATCTGAGGGTGTTTGCGTCGACGATGGGCCGTGAGAGGGAGTTTCGGTACCATTGACTGACAACGATCGATCGTTCTGGGATTCTGTGTGTTGTTCTTCTGAAGGCGTATTCCGCTCTGTTGGTCCCTCGCTATCTGTCTTGGGTGTGGCACGCTTCTGTCGCGCTCGTGCTATTAAGTCGTCAAACTCGGTTTTGTGTGTCTTCGCGTACCCGTCACCGTCAAAGTCTTTCTTCATGATTTTGTTCTCTTTGGTGCCCGCTCTTCCACCTAGTGTCTGTTCCCATTCGTCTAACTCTCTCAGTAACTGCCTCTTGCTCTTCCGCACACTTTCGTCGGCGTCGCAATTCGAATTGTAGATATTGAGCCATTCGACATGCCGCCGCCTCATCAGGTCTTTGGAACCCCAGGTAGGTATGCCGATTTCTTGCAGTTTCTTCCGCAACTTAGTCTCCGTGAGCATAGCATAGTTGAGCTGGGATAATCTCGTCGGTGGAGGCGAGGGGTCTTTCTTTCGTATTTGGAAAGCGGGTGGGAACGCAGTCTTAGTCCTACAAGTAGGTGTCGTTAGCCAGCTGACCTAGATGTGCTGTCATATATCTGCGTACCTTGACCGGGTGCTACGCCCTTGCGAGTTTTCTGGCCCAGTGCATATGTCCAGATGGTTGTAGACCAGCTCTTCCTTCATTGGCTTGCTGCACATAGGACACTTGACCATGCCATCTGGCATGAAATCGTCGTCGCCGTCGTCTTCGCTATCCGCGACGACCATTGGCGACCCAGCTCTGCCTCCGTTGCGCTGGCTCCTAGTTCGCGTCTGCCGCGATCGTGTATGCCTGACGTTGTCCTCGTCTTCCATATCTGTGTCTTCCAGCTTCCGCTTCTTCTTGCTAGCCTTCGTGGTCTCCTCTTCCTTGTCTGCGCGCGCCAACTCCATGGCCTTGGGTCTCGCCTCTTGAAAGCGCATCACGACTTCTCTGATCGCAATGTTGGGCGCCAGTTTGTCGCTCGAGCACCCAGTCTTGCAGCTCGGACACTTGCCGTCCGCCGTGATGCATCTTCGTATGCATATCGAACAGAAGGTATGGCTACACGGCGTGATGACAGGGTTGTTGTAGAACTCCTTGCAGACTTCGCAGCGCAAGGCAACTTCGAGCGGTTCGAACGCGGGTAGGGACGTCTTTATCCAATCGGTGGAGTCGGGGAGGTCGAAGGAAGAGTCCATGGGTCGTTCGCAGACAGGGAGAATTCGGGATGACAGAGAGTTGACAGTTGGATTTGTTTGGCTGGGGTCCGGCGCGTCGGCTTCGATCGCGTCACGTCGACCACGTGACCGCGCTTGAGATCTCGTTGCTTTGTCATCGCCCGGAGTGGGCCCCAAGATAGGTTGCTTGGAAGTCATTTTGCGTAGTCTGGCCATATTTGCGAAGATATGTGCGTGTTCCAAGCTGTAGGCTCCAGTTGAACAACAAGGCGCAACAATGGGCTGCTTAGTCCTGTTCGTGCTTGCTTCAATCTGGGCAAAGATTCATTATGCGCTAGCTGCACCTTCACTCTCACTCTGCGCAGTCCTAGAAGGACAAAGTCGTCATTGTTCTTTGTTGTTATTGGCACGATTCGCGGTGCCCGATTTGGCGTGTTCCATCTCTCCCACCAGCCAGCTACATGTGCAACGGCCTTGTATGAACTCCGCGCTATGCCAACTCATCTCATCTCATGCTGTAACTCGATTCATCTGCAATGCTATGCCCAGCCGTCCCGTCTGATGGGCGAAATTGGGATTTTATCATCCCAGAAAATATTCCTGACCAAACCCAAGTGCATAGCCACATCCCTTAGACCTTGAAAACGGTGCTTTTGCTCTTAATTCCGTCAAACACACAGGTGTTATCAACTGGAACATACTGCTCGGTGATGGCTTTGATTATCTCCTGCGAAACGATACCACCAGTCAGGGCACCAATGTTGTGGAGCTCAGCGCCACCCGCTCGCGCACTATAATTTGGTTAGTTGACTGTTGTCTGTTCAAATGCGACGACGAGGCTTTCGCAGGAAGTTGTCTCGTGTCGAGTTCAGGGACAGAGTGTACTTACAGCTCGCGCGTGTATTCTCCAATCTGAGCCTTGATTGTCGCGTACTCGTCTTCCTCAATGTCAGCGTTTGCCTCTTTGACAAGATCGTTCGCAATCTTGAAGGCGATCCCAGTGAGCTTCTCTGAGTCGGTTTCAACATCGCTCTCTCCAGCAACGCGGGGTGCTCCGCCCAGACCATCTTGATCGTGTGTTGCAAGGAACTCGTCCCATGCTAGGAATGCAATGTACAGCGGGATCTGCGAGTCGGGGAATGTGAGGAGCTGAGCTACAGGACGTTAGTTGAGGTAGCAAATGTTGAGATGGGTTTCCTTACCGATCGACTTCGCACGGTCTCCCCATTTGATCTTCTCGCCTGCTTGCACAACGTGGAACGGCCGTCCGCGCACTAGTTTGATATGTGCAGCATTCTTGCAGAAAGTCTCGATGTCCTTCTCGTCAATCGGCGTGCTACGGCCAGCATTCCGCTCCAGGAACCGCACGCTATCCACCACCTCCGCCAGGTCCTTTCGTGCTTTCGACTTGTATACATTCTGCAGCTGGATATAGTCTGCTGACCGCGCCTTCATATCGGGCACAGAGCCGGGTACCGGGAGAACGTTGTACTTGGTGTAGAACAGGCCGATAGCATTGGCGATGACCCAGAAGCTTGGTGAGTCCTCGCGGACCAGAAGACATTCCGGCGCCGTGAAGATCTCTTTGACGGAACTGCTAGCTTGTGGTGGGTTCAATGACTTGAGAACTGCCGCCACTGCTTCGTCAAAGTTCTCTTCGCCACCTTCTGGGTTGTTTGTGCGCGCAGCCTGCGCTACTGATGTCC